GAGCAGCTCTTGTCATTTGTCCATTGGTTTAACTATTTGATTGTACTCTTATATAGGGTATTATGATATTTGTTAGATATTTGTAGCGTTCAGAGAGAGAGATGGAATTGTAAGCGTAACTTATATATTTATGTTCTGGAACAAGATGAAACAATTAGTTTCTCCTTTTCTATGTGCTTTGTTCTGTTTTCATAGAAAAGGTTGTATCACAAAGTGATTTTAGAGTAGTTCTAACTAATATTTAAATGGGGATTTCCAGCCATCCAGCCATTCACGGTAAGGCCATCTCCAAGTGAAATATGATATACGAAATTTTCGCAATTTTATATCATTTTTTTTTTTGCCATAAACCCCGTTTGTTGGAATTAATCTGTATATTGTTTATAAGAATCGACAGCTGTCTTAAGAAACCATCTGTCGATAGTACATGGACTCATAAATGTGTGATATTTGATCTATGGATGACTATATTATCCAATATGTGCTATAAAAAAATATAGGAAAATATTCCGCTGAATCTCTTACATAATTTGTGACTTAAAACAGTTTGATAGCTGATTCCCACGAACTGCAAGAGCATAAATTGTTCGGTGTGCTGTGCCCAATGCTTTCTTCCATCATTCAATTCATTTATTTTGCAATTTTCTGTATGAACAAACCAGACTGCTGGTCGCCACAAAGCGTTGCCTGCTTCTCCTGCCTCCCCACTCTCCAGTTCCACTCAAAACTCGTGGCACAATCTGCACTTTTTGGCCAAATGCAAAAAAGGTCGCGACGCGTTGCGCACATGTGTGCGGAAATAATTACAAGCGGAGGCTGTGGCTGTGTGGCCCCGGAAGCGAGCACTGGAAACGATAATGCATTGTTATCGATTGGCCAAAAACCTGCATATCTGCATCAACACAGTCAGATGTCAGATACGTAATGCAGATGTGACTCCTCTATGGCACCTCTATGGCAATGCGGGCAAAGGCTGTGGCTGCACATCAAGACTTATGCAAACAACTAGCTGGATGTCAGTGAACCCTAGAGGAGGCGCACATTTTCAGCTCACTTTGGGTGTGTACGCGTATGCGTTGGGACAGTACAGTGAAAGCTCTTTTGGTGGGAAAATTTCAGGATAAGTATTATCCAAAGGAGAACATTTTTCGATAGATTCTGACTTGGATATTTATTTGTTGGGCAATTTAGGCAAAAGAGTATATTCTACAGATATTTAAAAAAAAAAATTTCACCTAAAATAAGTAAATAAAAATAAAGATTGTCAAAGAAATTTCGGCATAAAAGGATATTATTTTCGAAGAAAGTAAATCTACAATAACTTTTTGGAATATCTGAAATAAATTTCTATGGGAAATGGGAAATTTCTACACCAAGTCAATGTTATTTGCAATCTTGAGCTTCGATTGAAAGTACCGAGAGAGGTGACAGAGAGGTGTCCACATGCAGAGCTTTTTCTGTCATTGAGAGCCTCCACTGTACACTGTGCATATAAATGCTAAGAGGTACATACATATATGCACACACATTTCAAGAACCTACTTGCTGCAATTGTCCTGAAATGTGCAACAATGGAACAACCCCCTGTGCCACATATAATTTGCGTAACACAGGAGGGAACTACGTAAGTAAGTAAGTAAGGGGTTATGCCTCAGTGATACTTGCATTCATAGGGTGGTGGTGGTGGCAATGGCAATGGCTGTAGCAAAGGCAACATTCAACTTAATTAAAAGTTCTCTTTACCACAAAAGCCATCCCCCATTTGTATTGTAAAGTGCGTTGTCCATGAACTCAAATTGTAACCAGAGCGACGACATAGACACCCACAGATACAGGGGGAAAGGGGGTGGCACAAAGAGGCTTTTTTCCCCCCACTTACATGTAGCCATTATGTGCCACATATACCATAGATGTATGCATGCAAAAATTGAATTAAATTTACAACAGAAGTGCCACCGTACTACTGGACACTATAGTCATCATCATCATCATCGTTGGGTGGGTGGTGGTTTTCAGCAAAAGTTTACACAGGGATTTACAATGCTTATCAGCAAAGAACCAGACGACAGACAGTCTACACTCCCCCAGAAAGATGGGGAAACCAAAGGCGTCATTAAATGCATAATCGATACACGAACACTCCGTACCCTTAATCGTGTTCGTTTTCTGTATAAATTCTGCAGTTTATCGCCTTGCGGAAGTCTCTCGGACTCGCCCAACATCCATATAAATTTCAGCAGTAAAATGTGCGGAAAATGGCGCATTAAAAATAAAGGAAAAACAATCAGGAAATCATTTCATTCAGAGGGAAATCAACAGAAACGCATAAAGTAATGTAAGACGCTGTACACATTGCGTGTGGTTTGTGTGTCCGATGATAAAAATGGAACCAGAGCGCGGGAATAGCCCCATATGTATACCAAGCCCAGCAACTTATCACCCCACCACACACCACATATTTGGGCTTGGGTCCAAAATTGATGTCCGGTCCCTTCTTATCGGTTTAACTTTCCCAAAGACTTGAGAGAAGAATCTTCTATGACGTTGTTTATATTTGCTTTCATTTGTTTATTTGATCAGAATTTTTTGGTAATTCCAGGAATATTTTTTTCGCCATTTGCCTTTTCTTTTTACTGAATCAGTGGCAAAAAATTTGTTTTTGAACAACAAATTGAAGGCGTGACTCAGTTGAAGTTTTGGTGCTCGGTTTTGCTTTCATTTCATTGAATTGATGGCATATTTTAATTGAATTTTCAGGTTTTTGGTGCGCTGTAAATTTGCAAGTTTAGCACTTCCATCCCCCCATCCCTCTCTACCACTACATCAAAAGGTACGACGACAACGACGACCCCAACGTGACTGCAAATGCCAAGAGCCAGACGCTTTGTTAGCCGGTTTATGGATATCTAAATAATGCTCGTACAACAAAAACAAAAACCAGCAGATGAAGAAGCTTTGCGAGGAGCTGCTGTGGGTTCGAATGGGTTGACATTTGTCAGTGGCAGTAGAACTAGACTTCGGATTAACTTGTTAATATGTAAATTAAGATTAAAATTATGTTTATTTTAGTACGGATCTTGTACTGCGTGTTAAAAGATTTACAAAGGTAGATCCACGCTCTGGGTTTATAGACCATTTAGCAGCGTAGGTTCTGTTCAGGAATTCGGAATTTAATGTGAATTCAGGTGTCCAACTAAGCCGCTTAGTACTAGAATAGTCAATGAAATTATAGCTTCGACAGATTACCTAATCTAGAAGAAATGATTATTTTCTAACGATTCTTTCTAGAAGTCACAGTTTCGGTAGGTTTCTCCGCTGTCTCAAATGATTTTCCCAGTTTAAAGGCGCTTTAAATAGGTGTGCAATGATTTTAATTTTGGTCACCTTTTGGTGGTGTTGCAATGGGAGTAGCTACTCCTCTAAAAAGTCAAAAAACCTTCCATAAATCTATATAAATATTAAAAAATGTGCTGCAACATTCACTTACTATCATTCCTGCACCAAAATTTGTTTTATTTTGCACTAAAAAAGGAAAACAACAGCGCAACAAGAAAAAATTGCAATTACCTAACCAATTTTAGAGCTCGATTTTGGCCATGCCCAATTCCATTCGTCTTATACATGACATTAGCTAAATCCCAGACCAAAATACAACAACAACAAAAAAAAACCCCGCGACTGTTGCTGTTTGGAGCCCATTCTCAGAGGCTTAACCAGACCGTTTGGAGTTGTCTGTTTCTGTATCTGTGTGGCTCTGTGGGGCATTACAATTGCGGGGCACGTACGGGGCAGTGCCATAATGCAGCACAGACTAAAGTAAGAGACAGCTACGGGGTCTGTTTTTTTTTCTTTTTACTTCTTGGACAATTTGCCAATGCAGACGCCATGCCTGGAGTGACCCAAATGCGGCGCTGATTCACAAGAAGGTAACACCAGGAGTGTGTGTTTCCAGCTGCCAATTTGTCTGACAACAATAATACGAGTACATATGTATATCTAAAATATGACTAAAAGAAAGTGCAAAACAGGCGTCTGAAATCAATTCAGCGATGATAATTGGCCAGCCAGCCGTACAGGTTTAGGTACAGGTACAGGTGATTCACAGCCTCACTCCGCCTCAGGTGGAAGCGTGGAAAAATGTTGAATCAGCTACTGAGTGGACAGGTTCTGGGTTCTGAGTATTTTTCAGCTGAAAAACAGATAAAGTGGATGAGCTTTTGAGATAGTCCAGTCGTTATCATCATAGACCGACCTCTCTACTACGTGCCATTCCACTGCACACAAACAAATTTAAATAATGAAAAATTTCTAAAGATTAGCCAAAAGTCAGATTGCGCAATTATTCTGCGGTTGATTGGAAGGGGGGGAGCAAAAACGTTGTAATCAGATCTTTGGGGTATCAACCACAAGACTAGGAAAACCACAGCCAGAGACCCTCATCATTTTGGCTAGAAGGTGTTTGACGGTGCCTGACATTGTCGTTGGGGTGTAATCAGATATATTCACTCATATAATAAATGCAATCTGCAAGTGTTCGGCTGAAAAATCAGTCTTGAGTCATGGATCCGCCAGGCGACACGACTTGAAACCCCAAACGGAATAATCAAGCGACTGTGACAGTCGCCGTCGTCGTCGTTGTGGTGTGAGTCACGCCCCATTGCACACAGGCCAGGCCCAACAGCAGTAGCAGCGCAGCTTCTCCTTCGTCTGGTGTTAAATGCAATTTAGTTGCCCATTAGGCGCATGAGTTTTGAGTTTTCTTCTGGATTAATGGACATGGGAAAACTGCAGCGCCAGTTGGCTGCAGATACTCGAGGCACTGCCAGCTACTGAAAACTATCGCATTAGCCATTGAGTAGGCATCTCGAGAGACACAATCTCCACACCAAACTAGTCAAAGGAAAATCGAAAGAAAAAGAAAACACCCACACCCTCCCTCTTCTGCTGTGCTTACGGCCTTGACCGTGTCGCTGTCGGTGTCCATTTATGTATGTACTTACGTATTGAAGGTCTTTTGGTAGTCCTTGATTTGCTTGCGCGAAAACTCGTGAAATTCGGTATAGACATTGACCACCTTGTAGGTGCGTGGCACATCAATGCCGGCCTCCTGGGAGTCCATGATCTCCTGCCGGCGATTAAGGATGTGCGTCAGCTCGGAGCTGTCCGTATTGGTCGTGGTCGTTGTGGTGTTGGTTGTGGTGCTATCATCCACACTGCCGTTGCGCGAGGCTGACGAGGCATTCGAAGAGACGGACATTTTCTGTCAGGTTTTTCTGTTGTTTGGTTTTGTGCTGGAATTTATTTGCTTCGGTTGGAAGGCGTTGGCGACGGGGGAGACACACCCTCTGGGGACACACACGCACACACTGGCGACAGGAGATGATGGCAGGATACACACAGAAAAAAGCACACACCGATAGGCGGGGGCGTGGTGCAAAAAGGAGTTTCGGAACCTTGTCAAATTAATTTGCTTGGAATTTGAGGATATTTTTGCGCATCAAATGCCGGGACACACGTTTTGCAAGCAGGTTCTGTTCTTGTCTTATTGGAGCTTTTTTGTATTTCGCAGAAAATGCGCGCGAACGTCCGAACCAAACGGAATTTGAAAAACGAATGAGGCGGCAAAGGAAACGACGAAAAATGTAGCAAAGCAAAGCACGAAGAGGAGTGACCGTACACTAAAATTTAAAGAATACCAAAAAAATGTAGTGAACAATCGCACTTATATATCGATACATTAAATACTTTGAATTTGTCATCCTCAGCTTGCAGGTCGATATAGCCGAGTCTAGCTACGGAACGGCCAGAATTCTAATAGCGACGACTTTTCTTCTTGTTGACCCTGGATATCCTTTTTTTTAAGTTTATTCCATTTTCAGTTCATTTTAGAAACTGCGTGCCTATCGATGTTAATATAAATGTATATGATATATTTCATAAATATCGCCTCTTAAATTTCTCACCCACCCCCAAGTGTGCCCGCATTGCCGAATTATTAGAAAATTTACAGAAAATTCTTGCCTGATATTGTAAAAACTGAATTTATTGAATAAAAAATGGGCAGCACGTTTTTTAACAAGCTTTTACTGATTGCTGGGTTCGCCAGTTTAGCACATGCCGCCTTCTCGGCAGCACACCGTGAGTATATTCGTCCCAATTAAAGGGAACTTTGGACCAGAACAGAAATCAACAGTAACCAAATTTTATATCCACAGATCGCACGTACCTGCGGCTGACCGAGCAGGAATGGAATAGTTTGCCATTGGATGTAAGGCCCCGCCCACCCACAGTCTGCACATTAGCTAATCTTCATTCCCTTTTCAGATTATTCTGCAGACTGTCATTAGTCTCGTGGTGGTTGTGTACAACATAATTGAAGTTGTGGGCAACTTCAAGGAGATTCGTGCCACTGTGGACATGCAGCAAAAGACTTGGGACACGCTGGGCAACTTCCCATCGTTCTACTCGTTTAATCATCGCGGACGCGCTTTGAATCCGGGCTACACGCCACCCGAAAAGAGCCAATAGGAGCAGCCGCAGCTTGGAATGTCATGGAAACGCTGCCAGGCGGGCTCTTTATTAGTTTAGTTTCGTGCAGTTACAATATAAATTATGCTAAACAATGACCAAATTACACAAACCACTGAAGTGGGAGTTGCAGTAAACGACGTCGAACTTTTGGCCAGGATGAGCTCCAGGGCTCTACTTTCCAGTTCAGAGTCCACATGGAGTTCCTCCCCAGGGCTTGAATTGCACGCATGACTGTGGCACAGGCGGCAACCGTCTTGGCGGCCACTTCGCAGCAGGCACTCGTAGTACATCTGGGTATTGGAGCGACAGCCACGCACCACCAACTGCCTGTGTGTGTCGTAGTATTCCAGACAGGCTTCCGCCTGCTCTGCCGGTTCGTTGAGCTGCACCGGACATGGAATTGCATTGGATCCACGCGAGATTTGCGCACAGTCCGCATGCTGTCCTGTGCACTGATGGCACCAGAGACGCGCCTCCGGAAAGGCTCCCTTGTTGCAGAAGCTGCCATCGCAGCTCTTGCAGGCCGAACTGTTCGTAGAAGTGCAGCTGAAATCCTCGCGCTGGCAGCCCCTTTCGGTGGTGCCATTGCTGTGGGTTAGAACGAGACACGGGGCACCCGGTTGGGCACATTCCTCAATGTATATGCCACCGGGTCGCTCCCAGTTGGCGCAGGCCGCACCCGCCTGGTCCGAGCTGCAGCGATAGCAGCGGGTAAAGTCGCGACTGTTGCAGCCGCCCTGCGCGTCGCATTCATAGCAATTGAGGATGCCCGCATCAGTGGGTGGTGCGCCGCAGCCCCTGCGTATATTCCAGTCGGAGTACTCGCAGGCGAAGCACGAGGAGGCCTCCGCCGAGCCACACGTGCTGTTGGTTACCGCTGTAATATTGCTGCGGCACGCAGCCTGATCCACGGAGTTGCAGGTGAAGCAACGCTGCTGGGGAATGCACCCAGCATTGCACTTGTCACCCGTTCGGCACTTGTCCAGCTCATCTGTGAGTGGCTCAAGCTCCGCTGGCAGTGCGGTGGAACAGCCTCTGATGACGCGACTCAACTTTCGATAGCTGAAGCAGAACTTGTCCTCCTCCTCGCCCAGCAGCACAGCCTGCTGGCACTCCGCGTACAGAGTCACATTGCAATGGCCGCTGTACACCTGAAAGAGATCCATCTTGCAGCCACGTCCGTTGCTGGAATCACAGCTGGCACAGGTCTGTGTCCAGGCTCCCTGCTCATCGTTGCAGCCGTTGTACTCGCACAGCTTGGCCGCACTCGAGACGGTGTGATTGCCCTCCGAGACACAGCCGCGATACGCCTCGGTGGCACTCTGTACCTCGGTGTAGCACTGATCCTCCTCGTGATGGTAGCGGCATGGCTTTGGCTTGGCAGCAGGCGCTACCACACAATCCACCCCCTCGCAATGATGGCACTTGAGGCGCCCAGGCGGATAGACACCGCCATTGCAGAGGTTCGAGGAGCAGCTCTTTGTGTAGGCGGCACCCGTGGTGGGCGTATCCGCACCACAACCGCGATACGTGATGGAATCGACTGCAAGTGGAGGAAGGTCCAATTATCGGTTGAAGGTCAATGTCTCTGGGTGGAGGTGGAGGTGGTGAACTTACCAATGGACATGGCACACGACAGCTGGCTGGTGCATTCCTCAAACGGCAAGACCCCGACCTCACCCAGGGTCTGGGCGCACTCGGGCAGGGCAATCGAGTCGCAATGGTAGCAGACAATGGCACGAGCCAACTGCAGCGAGCCTATTATTAGAACGAACCGGCATGTCATCCGTATTATTGGAAACCAATTAGGGCCTGTGAACGGACTTACATGACAGCAGCGTCCCCGCCAGCAGGAGCAGAGGCGGAGGTGGTCTTGTATTCAGACGAACCATTCTGGCAAACGGACAAGCAATGCATTGGCTTTGTTTGCACATTGAAATTTATAATCTACGAGTACCCTTTTATGACTTATCAAATTGTGGAATAATGCAAAGATAGAGTCCCCATTACTTGAAGCGATAAGGATAAGCCAGGGTGGGGAGCTTTTTTTAGATGGGCCAAAACAAAGCACATTTGCTGTGCCATATGCATAATATAATGACATTATGTACCATAATGTGGTCATATGTATTTGCCGTGACCCCATTATCGGTCTAACCCATCTGGCCATCGAAAGGTTCACATCATCAATAATTCAATCGGTGTGTGGAGGGAACCCGAGCCCAAGCCCCGGGCCCGAGGATGTCGAGAGCGGCTCATAAGCGGGCAATACCATGCACCGGCACCGGCACCCCGGCCCAGTCCGGCCGAATATCGATTTAATTTAGAGCTCGGATAATTGCGTGACAATCAAGGGATTCTAGTATAGCCATGACCAGGCCAATTTAGTGGCAACCACTCTCAGTTGACAGTAAAACAGCAACTGGACAGGAGCGACAACGACCTCTCCTCTCATCTAGGGCAGCACTTTGTTGGCTTTAGCGATTGCCCGTGTTTGTGGAGCTCTCCAGAGTTGGCGGATAAAACCGATATCGCAGATAAAACTTGCCCCTCCGCGAGTTCAAGTGGAAACTGTTTGTCTGCCTCACAGTCAGACGATCCGCGAAGCTTAAACAGATCAGATAGCAGCCATGCAGACGAAGCAACTTCTCCTTTGGTGCGCACTGACGATCCTCCTGCACTGGAGCGAGGCTCAGCTGGATAATATCCGGGAGCTAAGCGTAAGTGCAGACCCAGAGCAGACGGCAGCAACCACAGTACCGTCAGTAGCAACAGAAGTGACTCCATTGGAAATGGAGAACCTGAAAGATAAAAACTCAACAGGAAGCGAAAGCGGAGATGAGAAACCAGAGGAATCAGTAATGGGTACAGAAGATATGCAATCATCGGGAGAACATGTAGATCTGGGTCCGCAAATAGAAGAGAAACCTCCAATGGGTACAGAGAATATTGAAATTCAAAAGGAAGCTACGGATACGGATGAGCCCTCAAAGCCAACAGTGGATATTCCCCCTGCAGTTGCACATACAGAACCACCAATGGAAACCACAGAAACTACTGTCCATGCGAAACCCGTTGCATCAGAAGAGACATCAACCGAGGCTGAAACTGCAGATAACGATAAGAATAAGCCACTAACTGAACCTGAAGATTACCCAAACGATGCACCGTCTGAACAGGACTCGACAGAGCCGCCTCCAGCAACCACACAACCCACACCGGCGACCACTAAACCACCGCCACCACCACCACCAACTTCAGTCCTGCCCGTACCACTGTTTCCATCAATCAGTTGTTTCAGCTGCAACAACTGCAAGGAGAAGCCAAAGAATAAAATAAAATGTGCATCGGCTGTGGGAAAACGTAATGGCTGCCTCACTTTGGTCAAGAGTAAGTACCCTCCGGGAGGGAGTGTAATCAACGCATCCATTAACTATCTTGCATGTCTTTAGGTAAGGAAAAGCTTGTGCTGCGTGGTTGCATCTCCGAGCTGGCGGAGACGAGCAACAACTACTGCAAAGCAAACGCCAAAGACTGTCAAATGTGCTACGAGAACGACTGCAATGCCAAGGAGGTGACGCTGTCCAATGCGGCGGCAGCTGCTCCGCTGCTGGGCAGTGCCCTAATCTGGGGCATTGGTATAATCAGTTGTCTGGTGACGATGTAGGAACCCCTCTGACTCTGAGTCATGCACTTTTCGAAATCGATAAATATGATAAGGAAGGAGGGAGCGCCCCGCCACGCCACGCACATTTAGATCAATTTATTTCGTTTGTCAAAGAGATTAGTGGAGTATAAAGTTTATGATTATTATTGTATTTGTTTCTGTGTGTTTACAGTGTTTAATTTTAGAAACAGTTGATGGCAAAAGTTATAAAGCAAATGATTAATAAATGTACATAATGCAAACATATTAAAAACATTGAAGGAGAATCATGAAGGAAAGTCAAAATGCGGGGGGTTAATTTTAAAGGAAATTCTATAGGCTCTTGCAGATGATTGCAGATGCTATTTTTAAAGGATTCCAAACGCTGCCAGATTACTTACAGATGTATTCAACTGAAGCTCTATAAAAATGACAGCCCTTAATGATCTTTCGCTGAAAGTTCTGTGAAAAAAATGCCACCAGATCTCCTTAAGACTTGTTCATAGAATAAATCTTAATATGAACATAGATCTATGTCTTTATAGACTCGTCTGTTGATGCTGATCATGAATAAATTTGGTAGATAAATGGATAGTTGAATTGGCTTGATCAATGTCACTCTCAATTCAATAAAAATTATTTTTGTTTTGATTGCCTTAACGAAAATATGTCCACCTAAAAGTACGAAGAATGAAATTCCAAAAAACCCATAGCATAGTCCCGAGTACAGGATATCTCATGGTAGTGACTATAATAAAAATGTTGTATTCCAAAGTATTTTTTTAGAATATTATTCGCATTTATTAGAAAATGTTTAATGTGCAGTGAGACTCCCTTAGCTGTTGTAGCCCATTTCGTTTTAATTAGGAGCTCGTGTAATTATTTTTCAATCGGGTGATATGTCCAGAAAATTCGAACGGCTTTCAGTTGAGGGTCAAACACTGACAGGAGGAAAACGCAGACAGTCCTGCACTACGATTAACGGATATCACTGAACAGAATGTGGCTGAATAAACTCTTTGTTTGGTTACGCAGCCAAATAGTGGCCAAATGCATAGATTATAGCCAGTGGTGCAGCAGTAGAGTAAATCCTTATTATTGTTCGTTGTTTGCACTGCCCACTGTACTAAATTGTCATTTACCTACAAACTCATGCACGCATTCATGCTCCCTCACGGCAGCAGCCTAGCAGCCGTTCTCTTCGCCCTTCATCCCACACCTTTCTTTCTATCGCCTTTCGCTACACTCTCTCGATCTGTCGCCTCTCGCTCGCATTAGGGCACAGGCAATTCGGCCCGCCTGCCCTTTGAATTAGTCTTGATCTTGCAATCACTGCGCATCGTCTTGGAATCGAGCTATTCAATCCGACACCGTCTTGAACCGACCCCCGCGTCTTCAATCTGACCCCGTCTTGAATCCAGCTAACTATCCTTTCGACTCTGTATCGTTTATTTACTTCACCACAATAAACTGTGAATATATATATTGAACAATCATCGCCTTTTTAATAGTATCGCAATACAACGCTACTGAAGAAGCTCAGTAGCTCAACATTTGGTGACCCCGACGTGATTTGTGCAATAAACAATTCGGTAGTGCAAATTACAAACTACAATTTATTATCGAAATTACCCTCAAGATCCGTTCGTTCGTTTGGTTTCACTTGCCTGCTGTCTCAACCCGTGTCATCGACCACATAGGTGCACACAAGCTTATAGAGACAGCCCATGCATATAGGCATAGCTGTCGGCAGTCTTTCCCGTATATTTTGCGTGTTGCTCTTTTCGGTCATCTTCCCGCTAGAAACGTTTCTAACTCTGCCCTTGCTATGGGAACCGATGCTGGAAACGACATTGCAGTAGCCGCAGCTAAAAACAGGGTGACTTTCCTGAGACTGAAAGTACCTTCATTAATAAAACAATTGGAAAGGATGAAGGCTATTTTGGAGAGTGAGATATCGCTGCGTGATTATTTTACGCTAATTGTATGGCTGAAGGAGATCGAGGAGCTGCAGGGCACTTTTAAAACCCTGCACAACGAGCTCCAAGAGTTGGATTACGACAATAATCACATTGGATTGTGCGAAAAGTTTAATTGTGGTTTCATGCCGCTGAATGCTTCGATTCGGCTGGAAATCTCTCGTCTCAACCCTCACCTGCCTCCTCCCTCTACAGTTTCAGCAAAAACTATTATTGCTAATATTGTTGGCAGCAGCTGCCACCACGGAGGAATCCGGCACCCGTTCTATGCCTTGTGCAATCGCCATCTACGGATACAACGAAGCCAGCCACATGCTTATGTGTGGGGCGATGCTGCAGTGACAACAGATGAGCGGGTAAAGCAGTCTGTTGATGCAAAAAATCATTTTCGCGACGTATGCATGGATGTCTCTGAATCCAGCTCCCGTTCTCAGGAGGAGTACAATACGATTTTGGAGAAACCAGCTTTATCAGCTGCTCAATTGACGACAGGTTACAAGGAACCACATTTGAAGTTCGACATTGGCAGCGATGTCCCAGCACCGTTGGAACTAGCTTCGGAACCGGCTACTAAGAGACCATTACTCTCGTGCTTGAACATTCAGTCGTCGACGCGCCCCTGCAGGCGCTCAGTTCATGCCTTGTCTACAGAAGAACAGCCCAACGACCCCTCCGGACTACCTGGTCCTAAACTTCCTTTATCAAGACCAGCTCTAAGCTCTGAGTGTGAAGCTGACGGATTCTGCAACGTCAGCATTGAGACTTATCGTGCCAGTAGCTACGTGAAGTCAAACGGTCACAATCCGGTTGGTATTTCTTCTCGTTGGTCTCGTCGGATTCATTTGAACGAGCCCCCTCTTTTGATTTATGGAACTCATTCTCAATCTTCGTTAAACCTGGCTGGCCGTCATCCAATCGGCGTACCAAACAAGACTCTAGTTCAGCGCACCAAAACCTTAGCGTTCATCAACGCTAATAAGCAGAAACTTCGCGCTGGACTTCGTGCTCTGCTTGCAATAAGTCCATCCCAATATTGGCCTATTAGGGGAGTGGAGCTGCCGTGAAGATGGGCAACTACAATTGCTTTCGAATCACTGACAATTCAGGCCACATTTTGGGCATTTTTAATCCTACAACATTAGCTTCAATTACAGAGAGCCTGCCGATCTGGATGTGCCAGTCGTGGCCCTCTCTTTCGTTTCCTGAACCTAGCGTAACATGCCTGATCTTGCGTCAATTGGATGACAGGCAATGCGTTACCTACTTACTCCATATCTCCTGTACGCGATGGAAAGAAGATTACATCTCGTCGCTGCAGCTGCGTTCAAAGCGTATACAGAACCCTGGGACATTGGTCAAATTCATACCCGGATTCATTGACGTGTCTCAAGATGCTTTGCTAAATACGGAATCAGGATTGCTACATCAAATCAGCCACAAGCGACGGCTGTGAAACCCTTCAGCATCTGTTGAAAGTCAGGCTTTCAACGGGGGAGTATGCTGGTTTCCCGGCCTCATATTCCCCAATAAATTCCTCAAAATAGCCAGTGGAGCAAATTAACGTAATCTCACCTTTGTTTTCTATTTGCATTGCCCACTGCATATATTGTAACCGATTATAATTACTCACGGCAGCGGCCGTTCTTTCGCCTCTTTATATCTCCTCTTCATTTGCTACTGCAGCTGCAGCATCTATACTGTCTATCGCATTCTCTCTCTCTATCGCTCGTGCTCGGCTCAGCAGCAGCCGAGCTTCTATCGCTTCTTTCGTTCTCTCTCGCTTGCATTAGGGAACGGGCAATTCGGTCCGCCTGCCCTCTTCTAGTCTTTAATTGATCGTCATCATTATCGCACTCACGTTCTACTGTCTTGATCAATCACTCACTTCTCTCGCATATTGAACAGACCCTGCGTCTTCAATTCTCGCTTATTTGATCATCCGGTACCCCTCGCTTTATTTCGCTACACCTACGCACCCCATATTTCGCCTACTTAACAAATAAACTGTACACACATAAAGTATATTGAATCGCTCGACTTCTTAATTTAATCTAAATTCAACAGCTAGTGAAAAAGCTCGCTAGCTCAACATTTGGTGACCCCGACGTGATATAAACATTAACTCGTTAAAATTTATCACAAAAAACAATAACATTTGTCGTTCTTTTAATTCGCATTGAACCACGGTTTTTTCGGTATTCGGCTGTGCACAAGCAACAAAAACGGTGCTCGCGTCGTCTGCTTTGCGATCTGCTTGCGGTTCTTGCTGCATTTACTGCAAGCGTTCGTTCTTCTTTGCGGTCATCTTCCCGCTAGGAACGTTTTCTAGCGCCTGCGCCGAAATGGATGCGAGGAACGACGGTGCAGTGACCGCTGCTGGAAACAGCTGGCTTTCCTAAAGCGGAAAGCACCAGCGTTATTTGAACGGATGAAGCAGCTAAAAGTTGTCTTGGAGAACGCTTCCCTATTCGACCACTTCATGCTCGTTGGCAGGCTGAAGCAAATCGAGGAGCTGCACGGCACTTTTAAAACCGTGCACAGTGAACTCGAGGAGCTGACTTCGACGAGATTGGAGTGAACTCGCCGATGACTTTGAGGAGCTGTTTGTGACGCTCAATGGGATCATTCTCGGAGAGATCACTAAGCGGTCCACTTCCGTAACTCCGCATCCTGCGTATGGTCACGGAATCACACCGGCCCCATTTCAAGTGGATTCGTGCGCGATTTGGAGCCAATCGGACTGACCGACAGAAACCAATACCAATCGAAGCATCCGTTTCTTGTGCCGGCTCTTCATGGTGGAGCAGGAGACGAGAACCTATTCAAAGTTAGAAGGCGGCCTCGATTGCATCAACACAGGTGGACTGCGTCGGATGTGGTTCCTGCTCAGCCTACGACCTCGTTTACGGACCTTCAGGCCTTGTGGGTTCTCTGCAAACGCTTCGTTCCGCATGTCATCCGAGCGAACCCACGCCTCTGCTGGCGGACGTAATTCTGGGCATCGCGCTGGACCTCAAGCTGTGCTGGGCCAAAGCCACCCGACATTGGCCTATTGGGGGAAGGGCAGAAATTGCTAAGCCCTCGGTCATTTCAGGAAATCATGCTGATCTGGACACATCACTTCCGGTGCTTGGTTTGAATGCGCTGTTCTTTTCGCCTCTTCTTATCTGTCGCTGAGCATCACATGCATGGCCAACTTAACCGATTAGATGTCGGACAACGCGTTTTCTTACGAACTCGGTTCGACGGGGGAACGGCCCCACAACAACGCTTTTGCTGAACCCTATGTGTTGAAGGAAGTTTGTTAAGACCCGTGATCTTCAACGGGGGAGTAGTTTGGTTCGCAGCCAATAGTGGCCAAATGCATAGATTATGCCAGTGGTGAGCATAGGTAAATCCTTATTATGTTCGTTGTTTGCACTGCCCACTGTACTAATTGTCATTTCCTACAACTCATGCACGCTTCATGCTCCCTCACGGCAGCAGCCTACCTCTCTTTCCCCTTCATCCCACACCTTCTTTCTATCGCCTTTCGCTATCACTCTCTCGATCTGTCGCTCTCCGCGCATTGGCCGGCAATCGGCCCGCCTGCCCTTTGAATTGCTTGATCTTGAATCACTGCGCATCGTCTTGGAATCGGCTATCAATCCGACACCGCTTGAACCGACCCCCGCGCTCAATCTGACCCCGCTTGAATCCAGCTCTATCCTTCACTCTTATCGTTTTTTCTTCACCACAATAAACTGTGAATATATATATTGAACAATCATCGCCTTTTTAATAGTATCGCAATACAACGCTACTGAAGAAGCTCAGTAGCTCAACACTCTTTATTTGGTTTACTTTGATGGCATTATTGCCTATGCGAATCGAAGGGATGTCGGTGCAACATTTAAAGGATATTGAAGTATATCCTGACCCCACAGAACCAACCACAACTGCAGCAGTACCCGATAAAATGCCCATAACCTGCTTCGTTTGTGATGATACCCGACTTGATCCAATGTGTGTGGTAAAGCCCACCAAACGAACAATATGCTATCCGAAAGAAGGCCAAGAAAATGGCTGCAACATCGTTCGCATGAGCAAGTAGGATGCTTTCATCCTGTGATCAAGTGATTTACTTTCCCATCTTTTAGGGGCCGAAAATATTACCATCAGCGGCTGTGAAATCGAGTTGGTGGTTAATGCCGTGAAGTACTGCCACAATAATTTGCAGTGTTCAGTTTGCTTTAAAAACAACTGCTTTTTCCACCCCGTTCCAAGGAAGCCCACACCCAAGTCAGCTAACAATTCGAACTCTGCCCCATTGATGGGTGGTGGCCTAATCACTTTGGCCATTTGTATAATCATCAGTTCATTGGCGAATGTTTAGAAACACCTGGCATACTCTGAGTCATGGAAATTACAAGTGTGTATTTGCGATCAATTAACGTAATTTATTCCTAATAAATATAATAAATAACTTTTAAATATCATTATCAAAAATGCTTCATATAAAAATGTGCACGCTAAATATTGTTCAAACATATAAATAAAACTTTTAATAATATGCATATTTAATGAATCGGAGTTCAAGATAAATCAATATGCATAGAAAATTATTAAATATGTATAGAAACAGCCGGGATAAGGTGTTCAATCGCATATCCTTTGAATTATCGTTTATTGCCAAATACGTTCACGTTCGTGGGCAAGAGATGTGCACTTCATCATCGATTCTTTTCATAAATCCAAATGCGTACTCAACGCAGAATATTTGAACGATTTGTTGCAGAACTGTTGCAGAAAGTAATTTATCATAATTGTTTTACTCTTTATTATTCTTTGACAGAGAAGAAAACAAAGAATCCATGGCCTGTGTACGAGTGCGTACATAGAATGCAGAACAAAGCGAATTCTCAATCAGTTGATAAGACCCATGAACTCTTATTATCTAAATATGTATTGTGTCCACACACCGATAAGATGTATTCCAAGAATTAGTCAGTGTTTCGGCAACTGCAATAATGTACAACTAAAATACGAAACACACTTGAATTAATTTGGCATACAGTATGTACAAGACTTTTATTTGTGATCAGACAAATATTCCTAACTATTATCATAATTATGTTACGCTTTCCTTTTGGGGGGGGGGTATGCATTAGTCATAGGCCAAGCGCCGTGATTAGTTTTTATAGATAGCATTTTGGAAAATGGAAATACAACAAGAATGCCAATAGGTTTTCTGTGTTGTCCAGTTGTGGGGGTACTGCGCTTACAGGGCGCAACGGAGGGTCAGAATGAGTCCCAGCAGTAGACCCACGCCCAGCTGCTTGCGGGAGGCGGCTCCAGAGAAGGCCTCAATGTTGCAGAGGCTCGTAGCGCATATCGTGCAGTTGTGGCTCTTTTCGTTCTGACATTGGTACTGCATCAGTTCGCTGGCCTGATCCCAGCAGCCGCGTATACCAGCACCACCTGGCAAAGGAAGGATTAGACAATGCAAATATGAGCTCAGAAAAATAAAACTTACTCCAATGTCCGTAGAAACATTTGTCCGGGCAGGCCGTGACCGGAGCATCAGCGCCCTTCTGGCACTTGTCATTGGTGAGGGTGCTGCACACTGCACACTGAAACTCCTCCGCCCCCAAATTGCATGCCGCCTCCGAGCATGTTGTGCAGCTGTTCTCCGTGCTGCAGGTCTGCTCCGCAGTGACACAGCCGCGGTAAACAGTGCCATTATTAATGGTGTAGCAGCCGAGACTCGCCTGGTTGTAGAGAAGCTTGCCACAGGACGTGGCACTGCTTGCCTCCTGGGCGCCCGGACAATTGCTGCACTGACTGCAGTTGCCAGCATCCCGTTCGTATTGCACATTGTTGCAGGCAGTCGTGTTGCAAGTGGCACAGCTGGCATCTGTGCTGCCCGCCGGGCACTTGGCCCCCTCATCGGAGGTGCAACCACGCAGCATGGCGTTGGCGCTTGTGCCGCTCGTGTAGCATTTGGCATCGGCAAGTCCACAGGCTGCCAGCGTGTTGTTGGCGGGTGTGTTGCAGCTTTCGCCCGTGCATTGGTAGCAAAAGAGGTTCGTGTTGCACTTGTCGCCGTTGCAACTGTTGCATTTGGGTGCAACGCAGGTGACGTTTTCGGCAAGGCAACCGCGAGCTATAGTTCCACCATCTGAAAATAAATGTCCAACTTTAATAATTTCAACAGCCCAATGAGCTAATCAATCGTTTATGGCGGCTATCATTGATAGCACGAGGCTATAGCCGACAGTCGACAGCTTACAGTTGATGAAAATTTCTCTTTGTTGCACAGTGCGTCAGAAAAGTCTTTTGGCAGCAGCAAATGAGCAAAAAAGAGAGTCTAAAAAAAAGTCTAAGAATTACCTAACCATATGCAAAAAATTAGTAGCTCTGCTAAATGTTAGCAGCTCTGCTAAATGTTAGCAGCTCTCTGTAAAATATACAAAGATGGCATCTCTCAGGCCTGACTTTTATATGCTTTTAGTTGGTTTTAACCCATTTCAATTGATCATTTTAAGCTGTTTAAACACAAACATATTTCCATTTTGTCATTGTACAAACACTTTCCTGGCACATTGTGTGTGTGTGTGTGTGTGTGTGTGTGGGTGTGTGTGTGTGTGTGTGTGTGTGTGTGGCCGGGTCTCATAATCTGTCGTGAGTCATAGCTACTAACCTGAAGAAGTAAAACAGTCTCTTGTGCAGGCCACTTCTTCCGCTGGAGCTGTGAGACAAGCTTCACTTACAGTTGAATTGCACTGATAGCACTCTGCAGTAATTGGCAAGAAAATAATAATAATTTAGTTAAAAGCTCAAAAGGCACAAGCCACTTAGGCCAACTTACGTATGGCCAGACAGCTGTCCAGCTGGCTGAGAGCGAGTGTGGCCACTATCAGAGCGGTGAAAAATGTATGACTACCCATGGTTATAGATAGTTTAATTCCTTGAAAATTTTTAATATATGCGATCCGATCGGGTGTGTTGTGCCTGCCTCGACCACTTTTGGTTAACTGTCTGCCAAAGGGTTTTGGTATTATATATGCCCCTAATCAATTTCACTTTAGCACACACACATACACACACATCGCGTTGGCCCACTGCTTATCTTCTTTTTTTTTTTTTTATGAATGTATTTCACAAGCATTTCTGTTTTCTTTCTACTGATAACTTCAATACACTTTTGCGATAATATATACCTACATACATATATGTACATATATGTTTGCATGTTTGTACATATGGAGTGGTACATATGTATATGGTAAGTACCACCTTTGAATTTTATTCACAGATGGGGTTAGAGTTGGCGGGAGGGGAGCTTTCACAGAGCATTGAACGAGCCATTAACCATTGACATTAACCCATAACAGTCCAATGAGCTCACAGTATAGTGAGGGAGAGAGAGAGAGAGATGTAAGTTCGCGTAAATTTTGTATTTTACTTGCAATATTTTACAATAATTTTTATTTTCATAATTGTTGTTGAAAACTCTGTTTTAACCCTTCAATCGTTTGCTCTGAGCTTTTCCCCTTGTTCTAGTTTTAAACTAGAAAAAAGCTCGCTTTTGGTTTGTGTATTGTCTGCAGTTTTATAGCCATGAGCTTTGAATCGTTTATACCGCTGATCAATATAAATGAAAGGTAAATTCTAGTAAAATTAATATAATTTATTCATTTTTGAATACTATTAGTAGTAAGGCATGCAAAATTACAATGGGTCTTGTCTTCCAAATTTTTAGGGGTAAAAGAGGGTGCTTAGTCGGATTTTGGTTTGCGATTTTACGAGTTTTAAAATTCATTCAAAATATAAAAGTTTTTATCTATGTCTCGAGACAATTAATCAGTTTCATAACATTCTCAGACAATTAACTGACAATTGACCATAGATAAGGACGAAGAAATTTTGTTAAACAAAGAAATGTATGTCTTATTTTGTTTATATTTATATGATCTTGATTTATGATCCGCAAGTGATCATATTGATTAGATAAGTTTGCTCGAATTCAGGTGGTTTTCAAGGTGCTTCATAAGTAAGAAATTTGACGATAATTATTTTTGCGATGTGTTGCATCAGGAGAAATTAAAAATACTGGCTTTTCTGTTTCTATATTATTTAATTTAATTCCGATTTTAGAGTGTGTTGAGTCTTGTATTCGGTGGGTCACAGAGATTCTGGTTCAGTCTAAAATTAAATTTATAAGATTTCATCGTGCTTCGTCCCCTCTTTAGAGGGAATGGAAAGTGTAATAAATACTTGGTCAATAAAAATGGTTATGGGAAATAAGTTTTTAAAATCATACATGCATAGTTTTTGTGGGACTGTTTTTATTAGGAATCTTTCCAGTCAATAGTTTTTGATTTTTTATTTAATTATATTTAAAAGTCAATATATAATACAACTTATGGATGTTCCAACCACCAACTCCCCAAAACTGCCTCTAGAGGAGGTTCTTCACTCCCAACGCCAGGAGCAGGAGCAGCATGCCCAGAGACACGCGTACACTGGCGCTGCTATTGCAAAGATCATCGAAGCAGAGGTTGCACTTATCTTCCGTATGGAATTGACTGGAAGACCGACCAGTTTTCGTACAGCCTCACAGCCGCTCTGACCAGTCTCTACCCGAACACAGCCGAGATGTTTCTCTGTTTGGCGGATAGAATAAAGTATATATATTATGTAGTTCAATACACAGCATAGTGCTTTGTGTTTACGTACCTTTATTCTTTATAATGCTGTAGCAGGCAGTCAACTTAATGCTACCATCAGTGGCCCTTCGCCTACGGGAAATAGTGCGATAGTTCTGGAGCAGTACATCTGTGGCCATGGCAGCCGAGGATCGGCTACGCGATGATACAGCAGAGGTATCTCCTGAAACAGTTGTTGCATCAGTCGAAAGATCGGGCGTGGAATCTGTTGTGGAATCGGATGAAGCAGAGTCGCTTGAGGATTCGCTTGCAGAAATTGTTGTTGACGAAGAATCAGTGGATTCAGATACAGATGAAGTAGAGTCGCTTGAGGATTCGCTGGCAGAAATCGTTGTGGACGAAGAATCAGTGGATTCCGATTCAGAACCTGTAGAACCAGTTGATCCGCCTGTTGTAGATTCTGCACCGGTAGAAGTTTCATCCTAGAAAAAGCAAAAACAGGTGGATTGCTCTTGACTGAAATCTCTGGCAGAGTGTTGGGTGGGTCAACTTACTGTTGTGGAAGTATCACTGCCCTCGGTTGTCGCTGTGGAATCGGATGAAGTAGAGTCGCTGGAGGATTCGCTTGGAGAAATTGTTGTTGGAGAAGAATCAGTAGATTCAGATACAGGTGAAGTAGAGTCGCTTGAGGATTCGCTATCAGAAATTGTTGTTGACGAGGAATCAGTAGATTCGGATTCAGAACCTGTTGAATCAGTTGATCCGCCTGTTGTAGATTCTGCATCCTAGAAAAAGCAAAAACAGTTGGATTGCTCTAGACTGAAATCTCTGGCAGAGTGCTGGGTGGGTCGCCTTACTGTTGTGGAAGTATCACCACCCTCGGTTGTCACTGTGGAAGCGGATGAAGTAGAGTCGCTTGAGGATTCGGTTGTAGAAGCATTAGTAGATTCAGATTCAGATGCTGTAGTACCAGTTGATCCGTCTGTTGTAGATTCTGTCGGTGCTGCCGTTGTACTGGTAGAAGGTTCATCCTAGAAAAAGTAAAAACAATTGGATTGCTCTTGACTGAAATCTCTGGCAGAGAGTTGGATGGGTCGTCTTACTGTTGGGGAAGTATCATCAGCCTCGGTTGTCGCTTCGGATGGTGCATCATCCGCATTGCAGCTAACAATCTCCACAAAGTCCAGATCGTCGCATAGGGATCCGATGCACTGGTAACATTCCAGGGTATTTTCTGTAGGCCAAATAATATATAAGTCAGGGTATACGGAATGTTTAAGCACCGAAAAATATATATTAGATATATACTATAGATAGTAGATAGTAAGTATATATAGATATACTTATATAAATACTGCCAGGGAGCAGGGAACAGCTCCGATTGGTTTTATCAGACACGATCAGCGATAGCATTGATCTTCCAATCCCTTGCCTCATATAAAAACCTATCGGACACGTTTCTGCCAACCATCTACATATCTCTATTGGGGGCTACATAATTTTATGAGCCCCTATCGGACAGCAGCCTTTATACTTGGTATATTAAGCCATGCCATATCAATAAAATTCGATACGTTGCTCGTGTGATTACTCATAAAATATATCTGCATTGAACATATCTGTATAATCAATTAAAAGATATTCCTTCAACTTTGCTATTGCAATTCTGAAGAAATGTTCGTACGTTAAAATGTATCCAGAGCTGCAGTAGAACTTTTGATGACTCAATTCAATATATATAAATTTTTCAATATTGTACACGCTTTGGCAATTTTTTCATTGAGGTTAGAGGCTGTTGGTGGCACAAAACTAATTACAATAATGGCACTGGCCATGGCATATTCTTCACTGGAAGTCGGTGCAAACATGGCTGATAAGGCGGCCTCCTCCATGTTCGCTCTTTCACAAAACTAAAACAGTTCATAGAATATGTGAGTAATTTTCATTCCTGACACTGACACGAGATAAATCAATCATTAAAATTTTCATGTCTAAATAATTCCCTTAGGTATTTTTTGCGCACTTTGTACTGGAGAGTTCGATTTTATTTTTGATGTAAATCCTACTGGAGAGTTCGACGTTTATTATTATGTAAATCCCACCTTCGCAGATTGTCGTTGAGGCGTAGAATGCCAGAAGTAGTAAGGTAACCGTGATTGAACGCATTTTGCGGGTATTTTTTTTGTTTTCTTTCTATTAACCGCAGGATCTTTTGAACGTATGAATGATCCTTGTTGAATGGAGTTCGAGCAGTGGAGAAATGAGAACAGTACCGCACGACGCCTGAATGGGAACTACCAATTAAATATAATGTTAACATGGCCTTTTTATCATTTGCAGTTCGAACCGACGACGCCGTCACTGATAAGCGATAGCAGCAGCACGGCAGCAGCAAAAAACCAAATCAGAGCAGAGCGGCGAAGAGAAATACCAGAGGGTAAACAGCATTCAGGCATTGGTATTGTTCTAGGTTGTGGACGGACGGAACTGACCCGAATCAGGCCTACCTACCTTCCTGTCGATAAGGCGCTGGTCATACAAAAATCATTTATAGCCAATATTTTATGATCCTGATTGTTTAAAATTGGGCAATTATTCGGTTTTTTCCAGTTTCACTTCCTCAGGATGTTAACTTCGAGTGGTTTCGGTTAATGCTTTAATTGCGACTTGATTATAATTTTCTCATTTCCTAGAACTCATAATTCGATAAGATGTAGATCGAATTTACGTTAATGGTTTGGCTTTTAGCAAAATTGTTGGTATAAGACAAAAGACTACAACAGCAAAAATTGCTAACTTTTATGGATCATTTAAAGACGGCCAAACCCATGACACACAAAGCACACCCCAATTAATTGCAGTTGATGTTAAGGGGAAATTTCCAGATAAAACAAAAAAAACTTTATGGGTGTCATAGAAATTCGCATAGAGACCCCTTGGCGGCCGTCTTCCGCTCTAGGATATTTAGAAAATCTCTACTCGCTCAGCAGTTAATGTATGGCTGTAGATATCTAATCAATCGAATCGATTTCTAAGGCGTCTAAGTATGGGCCTGGCTCTAAAGCTGTTGCTGAGTAATAAAACTTGAGCAAATATAGATAGATAAATATATAAACTGAAAGGCATGTACATACCGCAGGACTTTACAAGCGTATATATTTACATACGTATCTGTTTAGTTGCGAACTTTTTGGCCAACTGAATTCGAAATTCCGATAAACGAAGGAAACAACAATATCAGTTTGGTATTAATTAATACATTTATTTGCAATGATTCATATTATTTTTTGGACAGCTGCCTAATAGATGAGTTTGCTAATCAAAAATATGTCCAGTGCTCGGGAACTTTTCTATAGCTATTTTTTGAGTGAGGGCAATGTCTAACGTTAGTCTAGAAATCAGCACAGATTTCTTGGAAGAAAAGGAAATGTTGGACCTGCGCAATACAGTAATATCTATACGATGCCTCCGTTTACTTTTGATAAGTCCCAACCTGAGCTAATCTATAACGACTCTAAATCGAATTATGAATCACTAAACATTACTAATTACTTGTAAGTTTGCTGTTTATTCTGTATTACACTTGAGTCATGTCTCAAGCAAAGGGAATTCCATGTTGGAGCGCGTGGTGTGCCTTTCGGAATACTTTAGTTGAACTTATCAGCCTATAGTATAGTAGTATGCGATATAAAGCAGCCATAAAAGAAACCTTATGATTTACGCATGGTCGCAGCTTATTCTCATTCAGTGTGGCCAAAATTTGTATAATTAAATCTTATCTTATCGATGGGAATTCTTTGTTGTTGCCTTGTGTTTGATTTTTTTTGCATTTTCCGTTTGGTTTTTTGGGACCTTTTCGTTTTGGGTTTGCCTTGGGCAAATTTGTATAGCACAAATGGCCTAAAAGTATGCCTCCGCATGGGTTCTGGTTCTGTCATCTTGCGGCTGTTTGCACAACGAATCAAAACCGAACCATCGCGTATACGCAGCGTTGTGCCAGAGGTATACGTGACAATGCCATTTAAGTGCAAAGGTGATTCCCCAGTTTTGTGTTTGTAGAATGCATTTAATTATTCATCATCATCTAAGAATCAGATAAGATTACTGCCAATGAAGTCATTTAACAACACCAATATGTATCTCAATTTCTATTGTATTCTATTGTATTCAATGGGCCAATATAAAATCCAGCAAACGATATTATCTGTTTGCACTGCAGATAAGATATATATCGCCGTAGTCATCTGCAAGTTTGTTTTTTTTTTGTACTTCGGTTCCGGATATGATAAGAAAGTTGTGGCTAGAAAGTTGCAAAGTTGTGATTCTTAGATTGATATTTGAGGCAATTTCGATATGAATGGCAAGTGAAAAGATCAGCGCTGCGAGGAGTAAGGAAATAAAAAAAGATGGAAAATATTTATTACAAAAAGAAAAATAATTAAAAGTCGTTTTGAATTGTATACGAATTTGGATTGTTATACTATGTCTATTAATGTGCGCCAGTTATAGACAGTTCCCAGGATCCCAAAGCAAAAACACGCTCTCGAAAAGAGATCGCACAAAGCAGATCGGCGAGAGAAACGTTTACAGTTTCATAGGATATTTCGGAAAATACTTATGCCATTAATCTTGTGGCATCGCAGCACAAAAGTGTGCTAGAGTGCCAGCGTTAGATAAGTTTGCTGTTTCTAATGCTCTTTTGTCTTTTGTCGTTTCTAAATTCAGTAAAGTTTATAGAGATGCCTTCGTTTGAGCTGTTTTACATATTATATGTAGAATTTGTGGAGTCTAAACAGCATTATTGTGATTCTTCTACCTACCTTCTAGGAGTATTCCACCTGTTCTGAAATTTCCCGGATTTATATCAGTAAGTTTTCAAGCCAATTTGTTTTCCTTTAAAAATTACATATTAAGTAGTATTTATTAGGTTGCCTTATGCTTCACATTTGGTTAGCTTTTAATTAGTTTATACAAATAAATTTGCATATATTTCGATATTCGTGTTGGGTGTGTTGGTTGTGTATTGTGTGTGTGTGTTGGTTGTGTATTGTGTGTCTCTTAAAAATTATATAAAATTTCGAATCACTTAACGATGAGTGCTGTCTTATGAGTGTGTCTTTTGTTGGTGTGTGTTTTGTGTTGTCTTAAAGAAACGAGAAATACTAAATTTTAGCACCGGGTGAGGATGATGATGATGACTTGATCTCTAGTTGCGATGCAGAGCAGCCGCTACAATGGCCAGCAGTAGCGATCCCAGGATCGATGCCTGAAGCGTGGAGCTGCCGTTGCAGGCATTCATGCTGCAGGGATCGCAGTTGGACAGCTCCGTGCCGTTGTTCTGTTGCTTAAGCTGATCGCAAACGGCCTCATAAGTGCCGACGCGGGAGCAACCACGTTCCGTGACCGTGGTACCATTGACTGTGGATAGAAATGATTGGAATGATTAGCCTTGGCTTAGTGACTGTTTTGTGTTTGATTAACTCACCTTTCGCCTGCACGGAGTAGCAGTGGAAAGTGTAGTCCGTATCGACCATCGATCGTCGCTGCCGGAATGGCCAACGATGGTGTGGTGCTCTCGGTCTCCACAGCCACCAGACGTGTGGTGTTCCTGGCTGCCAGCGCCAACAGATCCTCGGCGGGCGGTGTTGGCCAGCCAGTGGTGGTCTCAACGGGTCCAGCAGTCGGTGGCGTCGGTATAGGCGCCTCTGTGCTGGCAGTGCTCTCTGTGATTAGTTCCGTGGTTGTGGTCTCCACTGTGGTGGTGGTTGTTGGTTGTGGGGGTGGACTGGTCTCTACTGTAGTGCTCTGAGCGTCAATCGTGGTCGTACTCTCCACAGTCGTACTCTCCTCTGTCGTTGTGGTGCTCGCCTCCGTTGTGGTTGTGGTGGTCACTGTGGAGGCTTCAGTGCTGCCGCCCTGATTGAAAAAGTCCTCATTGCAGGCCAAGAGGGGTGTGTCCTTTTGCAGCATAGCACAGTCATCACAAACATAGCACATGAGATCGGCCTTAATGGCTGGAAATAAAATAAAAATAAATTAAATTTAACTTCTCGCCTTCCACTCTTCTTAATATTCATTTACATTCATATACCCAAAAAAACAAAAGCTATCCATCATCTAAAAGTATTTCGTTTATATTATTTTATTTATTTCCCTATTCTTTATTGTGTTGGGGGCCTTGCCCATATTTTGATATATGTATTCTTATCCAGGAAAAGCTATCTATCAGTTAAAAGTGCTCAATATATAGCTTGGGCAAACAGCCGACCGACGACAGGGCGCGGAGTGGATCATGTGAGGGTCATAAATCAACACAAATTATAAACCAGCGACTTTGGCGTATTATTTGTCCATTCTTTAGCATAAGTTTATTTGTTCTTTGGCTGCAACTACCTTTGTTGGAATTTTTCATTTGAATTTCGCCATCCCCCGCCCCACTCGGAGCAATTTGCATTTGCAACTCTTGCACAAATATTTGCCAGCGTCCAACAGGTAAACAGACAAAACTTATCGGGATGGGATGGGTACATTGCCATAATTGCCCTAATAGTGTTATCAGGGGATGTGGATGCGGAACTATCAGCGCTGATAGCAGGTGGGTGACTCACCATTACAATGGCTGTCGTATGTATGATTATTCAAATAGGCTTAAGCCACCACTTCCCCACTGACTGCTTGCGCTATAGTTAAATTCCCCACTGACTGTTTTCACCATAGATAAATCCTCTCTGTCTGCGCTAACTACAGATAGATACATAATGGTTTATTTTCTTTATAGATTTCCTCATAGACTATTTTAAATAACAGATTATTTTGGACTGGACTGATATCGCCACATATTAGATCTGTAAATTATTTTTCTCCAAAAATGAAACTTTTTACTGATTTTCCTATAGATAAATTCCGCACAGGAATATTTATCTCATGGATAGATCAAGTGTTTTTCCTATGGATAAGCCCTTGCCCCTGACTCATCTGCCTACAATCCCCACTTGATTGTTCTCCCTATAGATAATATTCCACTTCATTGTTTTCCCATAGATAACAATCCCAATATTTGGACATTTTTTTGTTTTTCTCAAATGATGGACAACTTTTGGCATGTGTAAATTTATAATATTTTTGTTTTGCTTTTATTCTTTTTAATTTATCATAAATCATTGTGATTGATGGGTGCCTTTTGGGCTGGCAGAGACCTGTGATTGTGAGCCACAGCTTGTTGGGGGTTTAATGGCACGTGATAAGCGCCAGCGAAGCTCTCCTCTCCACGCTGGAATTTGCACATTTGACTTGCTCATTAATAATAAGCATTAATTCTTGTTTAATTGTTTAGCTTTCCAGAGTTCTAGAGGGGTTACTACGAGTACGAGTACGAGTACTCGTACCTGAACTTACTTATGTAAGTCAATAAACTCTATGGATCGTAAAAAGTTGCTTGCTGTTGCTACAAAACATACGAGTATTTAAATTGAGTCTTTAAGCCAGAGTGCAGCCTCTATTGAAGTTTTGTGTAATCATCTCTATTGCGTCTTTACGGGCTTCCCCTTAGAATCGGGTAGCCCTACAATATATACCATTTATTTTATCTAACAACTGGCTTTCTTCTTCATGCAAAGTTTGATATTTTTTCATTTATTATTCGTTTAAAATAATACATGTACATATATATTTTTGCATATATTTATTTCAATAATACAATTGTAAGTCTTTCTGCTCCCAAAAATGATGTATTTCTTTTTCAATTCATTAACAAAGCTGCATTCAAACTGGCTATAATATTGGGAATACTCGAATAAATTTTGTAATATAAATATTAATATTGCGTGGAAAGATCGTGATGAGAATGATTGTTTTCTTTTTCCTTAATTATAATAAATATATCTGCAGCTATTACTCATTCGGATCTATCTTCCTTCTAGTATACTATATTTTGTAGGTAATGTACATTTGGTAAACTACCCCATAGCCCGGCTAACACCTCACAATCCCTGATTAAATCATTCGCAATTGCGTCAAAAGATTACAGAATTTCAGGTTTTTTTCCCCTATGGCAACGAGTAAGGTAAGTATTTTCTAAGCGGTGCTAATGGGCCAGACAAGTTTTTCCATTTCGGTCTGCCGCCGCTGCGCTGCTGCTGCAAAATGTGTTAAGTGTAACTATAACATTTTCAATTAGCAGACAGCCTGGCTCTGGCTCGCCAGCTCAATGTCAAAAAAATATATTTTGTATTTGTTCATTATTAGTTTTCGTTAATTTCCATTTGAAAGCGGCACGAACTGCAGCTGACTGACTTTTCATCTCAGACATAAATTAGAGAGGACCTAAGCGTACGTATAGCAAGGGCGGAGGGGGGCCTGACTCTGAAACATTTCCAGTTGGATTGGATGACATTTCCGCATCACAATCGAAAATTGAAAATAACCGCAAATTGGTAACAATCTTTGCATTATTTATGACAGTTTAATAACAACAAAATAAATTAACTCTTTTTAATGTCAACTGCGTTGGCTCTGGGCCGGGCCTGGGCTCACACGTTGCTTCTGTCGCTGTTTGATATGCAAAATTCGATGGCGAAACAGCCACATGATCTTGAATTTTAAATTAATTTCGAATGCGCGTTTTGCCGCTGCACATTTATGTACTAATAAAATCTGATATACAAATTTCATTTATTTATAGCGGCAGCAGCAGCAATTTAAGAGCCACAAGACTTTTTATCACACATCATATGATGTGTTGTTTGGGCCTAAAGTTTGGTTTGTGGGTGACTAGCTGATATCGGATACATCCAGATATCTATTAATATTTAAATATTTCTAAGATATTAGTTTGCTATCTGATGTGTGCTATATATATGTTCCTCTGGCTCGTATGATATCTGACATGGGATATTATCGCGACATTTTCTCCTGGGGTCTTAGTTTGCATCTGATAGCAAACTCACTTCTCCTCCCAGAAATACCCATCAAATTTTATCACGACACATTTCTCGATATTCTAATATTGTAAACTTCCCGAAACTTTGAGTATTGTAATCCTTACCTGGCAACGTGAGCAGCAACAGCAAAGAGCTGGCCAAAATGATGTGACTTCTGCTAGGCATGGTGGTGCTTGGTGTGTTTTGTTTTATTTTAAAATATATATTACGGATATATTTTATATAAATCTGAATCCCACAGATTATACAGTATATATACTAATTGGTTGTATTATACTTTTGCACTTTTGTTGCTTTTGTTCTCGCGATTTATGGGCTGTCTGTGTGTGTGCTGGGGGCGACCGCAGTTTGCAAATTCTCAAATTTAACTGAAAATCTTGTGATTTGTTTCAGACTTTTTATAGAGTTTTATACTGCGACTGCGGCTGCTACTGCGGCTACTGCCGCGCCAGCGGGCTCCAATGCTGAGAGAGTGAGAGAGCGAGCGATCGGAGAGACCGTAAAACAAGTTTTACTTTTCTTTTCTTTATTGATAACAAATTAATTTATAATGCAAAAGCGGCGAGCGCGCAAAAATTAAATTGCCTGAAAGTAAAACCAAAAGAGAGTAACGCACACCGATTCTCTTCCCTGGCGCGGAGGGTTCTTTTCTCTTTGGCTCTCTGCATAACGATACGGTAGCGGCTCGCTGGTTGTCAGGTCTTTCCCATTCATGTGATTCAGTTTGCGGGGATTATTTCTACCCCATTCATTACATTCAGATGTGTGTGATTGTATTTCTTTCTTAAATTTCCTTTGTTTACTCTTCGATTTTCATGGGTCCCATCTCGTAGGCCTGCACTGCAATCGGCTCGGCTCGGCTCTGAAGCATTTCCCATGTTAGTGATTCAGTACTCAGATTAACGCTATCCATTCCTTATTCCTTATACTTGTTCTTAGTCAGCAAATGGAATCGCTGCTTGTACTCTTAATGGGAAAATTAATGGATTATATCTACTCGCTGGCAATTTTCATAAGCTTCGTTTCTGCTATATATTAACTCTGTTGATGTCGCATGATTATTATTCAATATCAAAAATATATCACGCAAAGCAAACAAACTCAAATTGGACAGAGCCTCGCAATTAACAGTGATATTTTGATGCCAATAATTATTGGCTCATCCCATTGACACCTTGTCGTCAGAGGGGGAAGGAGTGTGAGTTGGGATTTGTCGGGCGAAAGAACTTTGGAGTCGCACGAGTCTACGGTAGTACGAAATGTTCCAGTTGAGTGCGCATCAAGGTCGAATTCACTCGTAACCTAATGAAATTCCCAGACTGACCTACAAAAACAGGGCAAAGACTGTGCTGGCACTTAGAATTTAAACGATAAGCTAAGTTTTATCAGGTGTGAACCATTTCTACATTATATGTTTGTAAACAAAACTAGAGTACAAATTTTAAAATTACACTAATCAGCTGAAATTTGCTCTGTTTTGTTTATTGTATTTTTTTTTAAGTTAATGTAGTTTTTTATGCAAAATTAATAATAAGAAAAGAACTACTTCGTAATTAATGTTTGATTATTATAAATTGTTGAAATCCATTTTAAAATGATACATATAAGAAAATAATCAGAAAAATAAAATACTTAACAGCGGTCGTCTGGCGTTTCGCCTAAGTAAACCTCCATTCAATGATTAATATTTAGAAGAATTAATTGTTTTTTTTAGAATATTTCTAACTAGTTCGCCATGGAATTTTATATTGAAATATATTAAAAATTTAAGAGATCAATGCCACAGAACAAAGTCATTACTAAGCTTGCGTAAATGCAACCAAAATCTAAGTTCTCTTTCTCTTTTAGCGAGTATAACTATTGGCCCTGAAACATTTCGGATGGCTGAGAGACCGTCATAAATCGTGCGTTCTATATGCATATTGCATATATAAGTCATACATCTCAGCGGGTTCGTGCCAAATAGTCAGTAGATCTGTTTAGTGCCGCTTGCGACAACTGACGCATCTTCTGAGCAGCGCAGACGCAGAGATAAAAAGCAGAATCGTTCCCAAAAAGTGGAATAAAATATCAATCCAAGTGTCGGCGACATCACGTAAAGCGCTAAGTGACGCTTCTCTTGTGCTCTGACAGTCAGTCTCGATATCGCTCTTTCTCTACCCTACCCCCCAGTAGAATGAATGCTCTTTAAAGTTCACAAACGTCAACAACAACAACAAAAAAAGCCCCCAAGACAAGCAGAGAATTTTAAAGCCTTTTGGGCATGTTCTGTTCGTCATTACAACTGCTGCCCGGAAGTTGAGTGGTAGCAGCAGCATTGACGAAAATAAAACGGGGAAGCGAAACCAAAAAAAAATGCCCCCAACACGAGCCCAGCCCCAATTCACTTTGATAAAATATATGTGAAAGTTATGAACAGTAAAACAAATTTGGCAGCTGATTAAACCGTTTTGTTCGCTTAGAACAAGTTTCCTTAAGCGAATCCCACCTCTGATATCGAGCTTCCTCATCAAAGTTGCTCATCGCCCGATTTGGGAAACTCTCAAATCACAGTTCTCAGTCTCAGTCTCAGTTCCAGTGCCAGTGCCAGTCCCAGTCCTCTTATGGCGCTATAAATCTTTTAGAAATGTAAGGCAGCAATTGCCACTCGACTACCTATCGCTTATCAGGCTAAATGGACAGGCGCTGGCTCTGGGCTCTGGGTATTTGATCAATTTATCAGTTTATGAGCTGCATGAAGTCATTGAAATCTATTTGAAAATTCTAACCGCATAGGGAGCACCCACCTCATCGTCATAGCCTGCCTGCCTGCCTGGATGGATGACTTATCGTCCGAAGCACAATTGATGCGATTTTGATAGTGCTTTCGCTGGCCCGCCTAGTACAAGTTGTAGGTTGAATGAACATGGATCGGCACCGCAATGAGTGGGCATTTTTTTTTGCAGAACCCACCGCTGCGAAAGGGAAATCATAGCTATACTCGTATATGTTCCTTATCGATGCCAATTAAACAATTATGCCAAAATAGCCCAGGTGCGCTCATTGCCTACCGAATTTTTTCCTTGCCACTTATATGAGACATTGGCGTAAGTGTGCCATAAATAGACGAAAAAATCAAATCAATACGCTCATAAATCGCCAAATTGCGATTCCAAAAATTAACTCTGACTTGGAATTCTGTTTTGGGGCCATATATTTGATGTATTTCGGTATCAATCGCGCGCCTCCACTTCACACTTTAGGCCACAATAATCGCCAGTAGCGTCAGTGCTGAAATTGTCCACTGTGCTGACGTCGACCTTGAGCCAGATGCATTCAGTGATCCGATGGTTATATGACTGGGTTCATTGCAGCCATTCCCCTCGCACAGATCACAGCCCACAATGCTCCAGTTCTCGAAGAGCGCATCACAGGCAGCAGACTGATTGCTCGACCGGACCATGGTGCAGCCACGATTAGTGATCACTGTATCGTTACCTGATGGGATATAGCAATGGGGTTAGGCTGATAAGCTGATAATGTTGCGGTGAAAGTCAATTCACATTGCTGCGATAATGTCACGTACGATGATTCAGCCATCGAACTCGCGCTATCTTATCAGTATCGAGTATCGATGCAGCAATGTGAATGGCCTCTTTGATAAGAGGTGGGTGGATGCTTACGTTGGAGCCTGACTGTGTAGCAGACGGCAATGTCAGCCACCTGTCTGGCGGTTCTACGCCTGCGTCGATCATCATCGTCCTCGTCCTCGTCTTCATCCTCGTCGCCATCACTGTCGACAGGGGCTGCAGCACCGGGCTTAACTCCGGTTCCGGTTGCAGGAGCACCAGCAACAGCACCAGCACCTGCCACAGTCCCTGTAGCAACTGCTGCTCCTCCAATTCCATTTCCTGCAGCAGCTGCTCCTATGCCTATGGGGGAGAGTGGCGCATTTGGAGCTGACTCATCGCTGTCCTCATAGTCCTCATCCTCGTCCTCGCTAGCACTAGCCGAAGCAGCAGCAGGAGCAGTGGCAGAGGGGGCGGGGGCTGGAGCTGGGACTTGGGCTGGAGCTGGGGCTGGAGCTGAACCTGTGCCTGGAATGGCAGCAGGACCCACACTGGGGCTCTGACTGGGAATGGCAGCCATCAACATTCCATCAGCATTCGCTGACGTGGGCGAGCCACTGCACACCTCCATCTCGCTCAGCTTGGCCGTCTCATCGCAGTCCTGACAGGTATAACAACGCAGAGCTGAGGAAAAGCAGACACACACACACACACACACGCCCACACGTGGACAATGACCTTGGGTTAGTTGTGGGTTCGTACAGAGTGTGACCGTGACAGGTCTTATCAGCAGCGTGCTATCAGGCGGATGAGTAATCTGCACTGCCTGGGCCCCTTGGCAGGGTTCAACGTTGCGTATGAGCAACGCTGTACTTTTTTTTTGGGGTCAATCAATTAGCATACGAACGGACGGGTGCCATGGCTTAGTGCCGTGTGATTAATGGCTACCAGGCAGCAGCAGCAGGTGCTTAATACATACCTGAAACACCCGAGCCATCCAGCAGCAGCAGCAGCAGCAGCAACGGCAGCAACACAACCAACAATTGCATTCTTTTGTGTGTGTGTATTTCGAAGGAGAAAATTTTCAATTTGCAAAAACGTCAACGCGTCAAAAAATGCACAAAAACTTTCGATGAGTGAAGCGCTTCCCGGATGAGAATGTGGGCTCGAAAAGTGCTGCTGCTTCTTTCACAGTTCCGTTGTTCTTTTTATTATTATTTTTTTGTGTGTGTGCTCTTCGTGTCAGCAACCGCCACCGAAAATTCAAATGGAACTGCCACCCCAAAGACATCGACAGCAATGGCGGAGGCTGTTGTTTCCTCTATCAAAATAGATTTCTGGACTATCATACAATGGGTGTGTGTGTGTGTGGCTGGAGACGCGAGGCGGGTAGGTGGGTAGAGCAAATAATTTGCAGCATTGGTGAAACATGTCGCGCCCCGGCGACAGAGACACACTCTGATGATAGCATCGCCAAAGCGTTTCAAATTAAATGCGACAGACAGAGACAGCATCGAAAGACGAAGGGAGAGGGGGCGGGCATGTTGATAAGCGGGCGGCAGCGGGTGTGTGGCACTGGAGCATCTTACATGAGTAATGGGAAAATTATCTTTGATTGGGGAAAAACAAGTCAAAAATCAACAAAGAATGAAATAAACGCCGAATGGGGATATACCTTGAGGCGTTTGCTGTATGGCAAGTTCTTTTCACAAATATTTAATACACTCTGAAGAAAAGAGCAGGAAAAGTTGGCCCAAATTGGCAATAAAAACTAATTGAAATTGTTGGGTTTTTAAAAGTTATTCGCTGATCATTGATGATCAGAGCATTCCCGATCTAAGCTCTTTAATATTTTTTAGAATATTTTTAGTGACAAATTTCTACAGAAAGTTCCCATTTATCTTCTCTCTCGGAACAGAAAACAATCCACAATTATTAGGAGGCTTCCAGTAAGAGCTTTCAATAAAGTTCCGATTAAACTGAAGTCTCTAATAGGGAATCTTTATTAAAATAAAAATAATTAAAAATACCTGTTATTATTTTCAATATTTGAATGTTGATCCTCAAGGATCATGCCAATAAGAGATTCCACCTTGGTCTTTCGTGGCAAACTTCATAATGGAATGATTTTACCTCCTATAAGAGTAATGCAAACACAGTCACAGCTATAACTGTTATACACCCACAATCGCGTCGCAGAAATTTCTTACACAATATTGTTATACTGTCATACAGCATTTATTCGTGTGCTCGCTAAGTATTTTTGTTCGATCTTACTTCCACTCCAATATTCGCTTAAAAACTAAACAGAATTGATTGCTTGGTTAAAAATCAGAGTGTATTTTGTGGGCGTGGCTGGTGGGCATATCTAAGCTCAGTATATCTCAGTGCACATCCCTTGACAGTTTTACATTTTAAATTTATATATATTTCATATATTGCATTGCTTTTGGTTTTTAATTTGCATTTCATTCGATTTCTGTATGCATTGCTTTTGGGTTTTTATATTTCTTTTTGCTTGATTTCTAATTGAACATTTAATTGCATTTATTGCATATTTTTTTTTATTAAATTCGCATTTTTTGTTGTTTTTTTGTATAATATTTTTGTTTTGTTGATTGTTTCTGCGTGCTTTTGCGGCTTTTGCATTGAAGGAATAATCCATAAATTCTGCAATAGAAACACAAAATATTTATTGGAATTCCTTTAGCGCTGTTTTGCTCTGACTCTGAAGCACATTTAAAGTTACCTAAGAATACATTTATTAATGTTTATAATTCCCATCTATATTGCTTGCTATGAATATGAAAATTAAAGGCAATTGGTGAATTCTTACACTCATCTTCCCCACTAACAATTATCAATATAACAATCAACATATAATAAAGCTACAATAAGAGCTAATGGAATAGGTCCTCCATCCTTGATATATATGTACGGGATAAATGTAGTATGTGGTTAAACATATCCCTTTGAGGTCCATTTTCCCTTCCTTCCATCATCCATCATCATCAACTGCTGGTAATTGAAAGTTTTCATATTTGTTTGGAATCAAAGCGAATGAGCTTTTCTCTCTTTGCGGGTCGGGTTGAGTTGAGTTAAGTGTGCCTGGGTACGAGTACGAGTGTACTGTGTTTGCAGTTGTATCTGTGTTTCTGGGATTGTATCGGTGTATTGGTGTGTGTGTGTGTTCTTACATGTCTAGGGGGGGGGTTGGGGGTGATGGTAAAGAGAGAGGTGGGGCAGGGGCTGGCGTGGGTCTGTAGAGGGTCTGAAGACTGGGACTGGGAGGCTTGTTCAAATCAACGACATTGCACTCAAATATTTACAAAGTAAACGGTAACGGCAACGCTAACAGTAACTCAACCTAAATGCAACCAACGCATCCAGCAACAATCCACCAAAAGGCCACCCATCCATCCTTCACTAACACCTCCTTCAACAGTCCTGGATTAGTCCTGGCATTAGGTTTACCAATAGCATTACCACCGCCACCGAACCCAATGTCAACGTCACTGCCGCAGCACCATTGCAACGATCCGATCTGCAAATGTCACAGAAGAAGGTATCCTCCTCGGATCCTTCGTCATTATCGTTGGATTCCTGGCCATAGCCATAGCCCTGCTGGCCCTTGCGTCGCTGCTGTTGGTCGCGCTCTCGCCGCCCCTGATCTCGATTGCTGTCGCCCGCATTGGTGATACGCAACTTGCTACGCAGAATCTCACAGGCATCCGAGTCTCCGGTGTCCAGCTGGCAGAAGCGGGCCGTCACGATCTTTCTGCTGTCAGCTGGTGGAGTAAATAAGAGAATATACAAAATCGAACTGTGATTGTTTTGTAAAAGCGATTTTCAAAGAACAATAAATCTCGGCTGTTTTATAAAAAGTATTTCACGATTACAGCTCATAAAAAAAAGGTAAATACTACACCATTTCCTCCGTCATAAAAAATCTGATTACAAAATGTGCAACGAACTATCTGAATACATGCTCTGATAAAAGTCAGCCATAAACTATATTGTGGCTAACAAATATCGGAAAGCGCACAGGTTCAGGTTCAATGAATGAATCATTGAGTCAGATATGAGACCTTAGACTTGGTCACGAGACTGATTTTTTTTAGATTATTATTAGAAAATAATTGTGGAAATTATAGAGCACTATTTGCAATTGAAGTTTTTTTTTGCGGGCAGTACATTTAATTTTAGAATGATTAGCCAACCTTTTTTTAATCATACAGAAAATATTTGAAATTGGAAAACACACTCCGCTCTTTCCCCTTAATTTTCTGGCAAAACTTAGTCTCAATTCCTATATTTAAATATAATTTTAGTCTACAAAAAATACTTCTTCAACCTTCTTTTCCCCTTTTAATCTCCTTTACTTACGATCTCTGGCCACAACTTTTTGGCAATTCATCAGCGGATTTTTGTTGGCCCCATTATCGAAGTAGGAGAACTTGTTCAGGTCAAACAACCAGGTGTCCAGCGACTTCATTTTGTCCAAAGTGCAGGTCTGAAACAATAAACGAAACAATAATAAATATTTGTATCCATTTTAAACGCTGTTAGACTTTGTGCTATAAATTAAAAATATTTGTTTGCACTGTCAATAATGAGAACAATGAATGGCGTTTGATCGCTTTGCGTTCGGTCAAAACAATGTTGTCTCCAGTCTGTAATTAAAGCCTTAATTGAGATTGTTGGTAACTGATTTTTCTTATCTCTATATGTATGTTGAAAGAGCGATAAGAGTAATCAGTATTGATGCGTTACGAAGCGACGAGACGACCTTCGCTATCAATGAGGAAAAATGCACTCACATATCGGTTATATTATTGAAACTGCACTGCACTTAACACAGATATCATAAGTATGGGATGGGGAAAAATAAATACACTCCAATCATAATTATGACATATATAAGTTAGCTCAGAAATTTATTAGAGGTGGGGAATTCCCTGTTTAAATTGTATTAGTCACATATAGTAATAGAACAAAGCTTGATGTTATTTCGAGATACAAAAGTGTTGTGGAATTTATAGCTTCAAGTTGATTAGAGAGTAAGTAAATAGAGCGGTACGTAGAATAGAATGGAATTTAATCTTGCTGCATAATTACTTTAAATGCTTGACTAATTACGGTTGAATCTACAGTAATTCTCATAATTATCGAAGAATTCGGTCAGCTTATTTACTACGTACTTTTCTTTTAATTTGTGTGGATTTTATTGAATAGAACAAACTGTAGAAATTGTAGTTACAATTCGATTGGAAATAGTTTATCTAAATATCAGGAGGATAAGGAAAGATAAGCTCGTTGCGTTCGTTTCTTTAGAAATATCATTTCAAACTTATATTTTTTGCTCTAGATTCCAGTAATATATATTCCCTTCCCTTTTTGGCTGTCATCTTTCTATTTTCCAATTCAATTTAACTTTAAAAGAAAGATTACAAATCATAGACGACAATCGTTCTGGCATTTGCCGCTCTACAAGAGAATTGAATTAATTTATTTTTTTGTGTGCCAAGAGCTAACGAGATTCCCTCACAGAACTGCCGCCAAGAGAAGAAGGAACTCAAGTGCTGCAAAATTTACGTTGTTAGACTTTTGTAAAAGTATTCCAACTGTTTGGCACGTGGCCGGGTTAAGTTCTTTTCATTCCGTCGCCTGCCGTGCCTTGGCATTCTCGCTGGGGGCACTCGCAGTGGGAGAGATGCCAGTAACAGAAAATTCACTTAACGGAGGCGGAGGACGACAACGACGACGACGACATTGCACGTTTCCGTTTCCGCTTTTGTGGGCTCTATTTCTAACAGTTTTTCCTGTTTTCTTTTCTTTTTTTTTTTTTGGGTAGGCGGCAGATTTATGTGGCATGTAGTTTTAATTTGTGAGTGGCAGCACTTTGATTAAGGTCACAAGAGATGTGATTGGGCTGGCAAAAGGTTAAGTGAAATGAACGGGTTAAAAATTAGCCTCAAAGAAACGGAGATGAATCAACAAGAGGTCCGGTCCCCCACATCATCATCGATCAATCAATCAACCAGACTGCTGATGGATGATTGCCTTCAGGCAGTTGCAATCTGTACACCGACTCACCTCCGCCACTATGCTCGAATTGGATCCGAGATCGGCACAACTGGGATTGTCGCTCGAATCGCACACAAAGCACTGTATGGCTGCGCCTGAAGGATAGAAATATTTCGATTGATATGAATAGCCACAGGTAACACACAGACACACACACACACACACACACACCATACGATATGCAGCAATGCAGCGCCAAGAGCCACAAAATAGACGACTCCTTAAAGCACATCATAATTCTTGCACGTTTATTATTTTCTGTATGATTTATGATTTATATTTTTTATAATATTTTGGAAACTTTTCAAATATTTTATGCCACTCGCGCGCACTCGGGACGAGTTCGCACTTGCCACAATAATTTTTTGGTGTGTTGTGCCACAGCCGCTGGCCAAATGAAAACTGAAATTGGAAGCCAGTAAGGCAAAGGCAATTGCCTTCAAGAGGAGGACCTACGCTAGACTGAACCGACAGCGACGTCATCGTTTTGCGGCACGAATGTGGCAAACGAAGGCTTCGCTTCACAGGCAACGACTACTGACTGTCGTCTCGGGGGTCCTTCGCGTATTCGTCCCTCCTGGCGTATATTGCGTGGGTGCGTCGTAGTCGTCGCCGTCTCCGTCGTCGCTCGAGTGGCTCCTGATACAGACAGTAATAACATCTTGGATACCCCCACATGGCTACAAAAGGGAAAAATTATTCAAATTGCGAAATGCAAAACCAAAAGATTGGACGGGCTCGTCAAAGGAAGAGGAGCAGCAGAAGCCGCAGCCGCAGCAGCAGCAGCAGCCACCCTCTATGCGAATATTGCAATTACTTGGCCAAAAACTCTTTTGGCCACAAGGCCAGCAGCAACTTGAAACCAGCAGCAATAAACCATGTCCTGCAGGAGTACAGGGAGTGGGGCTGATGCCACCCGTTTGACCTATCGGTAACTGGACTCGCCGCGGATGAGCCAAAATTAAATTATGTATTCATAAAATAAGCGGAAAACGAAGAGCTGCGCGGCGACACCACACCGCAGAAGGAGTCGGAGGAGCCATGGTCATGGTGGGGGATGGATCCTTGGGATACTGTGAAAATACGAGTGCCTGGGGAGTTCAGATTCAGGAACGGGGCTGGGGGATGGGTACCCACAGGATAGCGCAACAATGCGCAGCAATTAGTGGCGCCCAAGAGCGAAAAACTCATCCGCATTTTTTGCGTTGAGGCTTGGCTTTGGCTCTGGCTCTGACCTCGCCTCTGGTCTATGACATCCTGGGTGTGGGCGCTTATTTATCGCTCTCCAAAGGGGTTTGTTTCTTTGCCATGCCACTGACATCCGTATCTCCCGCGGGGGGCAGTGTGCATGCCGGGCAGAGCGTTTCAATTTATCATAAACAATGCAGACTGTGATTGGTGTAGGTCGCGACCCCGACCCTGGCCCCAAATCCGCCAAAAGTGTTGGCTAATGTGGTCGCTTGTTTCTTTACGAGTATACTCTGTGGCTGTAGGCTAGATAGTAGGGTTAAAGTGGGTTTAGTTGGGTGTGCTGCCAGCAGCAGTGCGCCTTAGGCTACGCATAAATTATTTGCAAGCTGTTCTGGACTGGAAAAACTCTTTTGACTTGCCAAAAAGAATGGGAAAACGACATCGAAATATAATCTAGAATTTTAGCAGGGTCACACTCAGAAATCAAAGGGTCCCCATTCAAATATAAATTAAATCTAATATTGGTTTTGGCAGGGTCTGATAATTTATCAGTTGCAATAATAGAGACAAAAAATATATCTGCACCTTAAATATTAGTTTGTTGCATTTACATAGCGAGCTCCATGTCGCAGAGTCACACAGGTTGAAGCATGCAAAATCCCACTGTAAAATCTCCCATCAACAAGTTTCTTTTGGCCAGCGAACTGCCAGCGAAATGGATAACCAGAATCTGTTTCAATTACCCTTTCGGGGCGTCCATTTCCTCGGGCTTAATCCTCGGGCTCCAGCAACTTTGGCTGGCGGCCACCAAAGTGCAGCCTGTTGCCGCCGCATGGCTGGCGGAAAATGTAAATCGGAGTGCCAAAAAAGAAAAAGAAAAACTGAACTGAAATCAGTGCCAGTCCAATTCATTTCGACTGCTGCGTGACAAGGACACATTGGCTCGGTCTGTCTGGACAATGGCGCGCTGATGGTGACGTCGTCGCCTGCTGGTCGCCCCCATGTTGATGTCATAATTCCTCCGATACCCATCCATTTTCTCCGGCGCGGCATTGCATGCCGCAACTTCATTTGCTAACAGCGACAGGACATAATTAAAGAATGTTTACGCACGCTTCCGTTTCCGGTTGGCAATTCTTTAGCTCCAAGTTCTGCACTGTTGCTGTGTGTGTGCTTTGGCCAAAGGTCAGGCGCTGCTTGCCACTACTAGAGCCAGCCATAAATTATGCTTTCGATTTTTACAACTTGACACATTTTTGCAACGGTCGCTCCACGACTCGACTTTGGTTTACAACCTGCTTATCGTTTGCATCGAACCCCAAACCGTGCACATCGTAAAGCGTGTTTTTATGTTCATGCCCTTGCCGGCCCATAAATTTTGTCTTGCCAAAAAAAAAAGATTGGGAAAGTGTAACAACATTTTGTGGGCCAAAAGTTGTTTCGTCTCCGCCCACGAAATGGCCTTTAATTAGTTGAAATTTTTCGCCTGGCATGCTAATTGAAAAACTTTTTTCCTCTGCAGCCGCAGCTATGAAATATTCACGGTCTGTGGGGCCGAAAGTATCTCCAGCAATTCACCGATGCCCAATAAAAGGAGCAACGTTGCTAATGGAGGAGGACACCGTCCCCTCGAAAAACAGAATGTCGGTGAATGTCAGTACTTTGCACAGAACGTCGCAGTCTCTGCCTCTTTGTTGACTCTAGTTTAATTGAGTTTTATTACGTATACGCATTGAGGTACACGCGCTGCGATTACTGCTGCTGGCAGCTCTCTCCAGAAGCCAATTAACTGCCAGTGGCACTGGCCAAGCCACCTCCATATAGCCGGCAATAAACATAAAACTTTATCGTTGGCGGTATCTGCAGCTTCTGTGCAAATCAATCGCTACAATGCGCTTGCAAGTGCTTTGCTTGCAAGGAGAGCCAAGACATAAAAATTGCTTACACAATGGATATCCTGCATGGGGATTATTCCGCACTATATAGTACTCTGATAGAGGAGGTATTTTATGGGTATAGTTTATGGCTCATATGGGATTCAATTTCCTTTAACTAAAACTTAAGTACATTTTGTGTTGAATAACTCTATAATTTAAATAAGTTTTATGGGATATGCATACGGAAATTGATGGCAAATAAATAAATTTCCAAGGAAACCTTAGGAATGAAATAAAAGTAATTTAGAAAAATGCCAAGCTTGCCATTAAATGCGACAATGAAACATTTTATATGGTTTAAGTATGAGTACAAAAACCTTAATTTCCTCATTGAACTACCAAATTTTACGAACCAATTTGTCAGTAACGAAATAAGAGACCTTTGCCCTGCCCTGCCATAATTCCATTTTCGATCATCTTCAGATTGCAAAGCACATAAAATCAATTTAACAGCCAAACAATGCACAAAGTACGTAATTTTTTTCAGCAATCACTTGCACTTGACTGCAATTTCAATGCAGTTCAAGCGGCAGCTTCAGGTGGGCCCAAACGGAAAACTGAGAACAAAAGCGACAAAAAGTGGGCAAAGAATTTCATTCTCCTACTTGGCTTTTACAATTTACAGGTCAATGAGCTCACTGAGCACGTAGCGGAAGTGGAAGCAGCCGGAGGAGCACTATGACAGCAATTTGTGGGTGTCTCTCGCTGCACGTGCCCCAAAATGCAGGAGCAGCAGAAGCAGCAGCAGCAGTAACAGCAGAGGCAGCATCATCATCACCATCTCCAACAATCAGCCTTTCGGTTGAGGGCGTGGTAAATACAAAATATCCCAGGCGGCATGTAAAAATATATCCTACGGATTGCGTATGCGTCAGTGTCGGTACGTGACTCCTTTTCGAGCGTGAAACAATAAAAATATTTATGTTGTTTTGTCGCGTACTGCATAGCCACGTATATAAATCATCCAACTGATTAACATAAGAAATCTGCGAGTCGCTCTAAAATGCTAACGAATGCCAGTGACAAATGTTATGCGCGCACAACGAAAACTTTGTTGAGATTTTAATGTCATTAGCAAGTGACTGATGTTCTTGGATGCGATATCGTGTAAATGCTGTTCAGAAACAGAATAAAATACATATATACTCGTATATAATTTATGTAGAAATCTGCGCTTTTGGCAAGTTCTCCTAGTCTTTCCATAGTAGGATAACATAGGATAAAATCTAATATTCGCTCCTAAATTCCTTTAGTTATTCCACAGAAAAACTCTTTTACAAATTTGAAAAGAAAATTCTATTCATTTTATTACAAGCAATCCCATCTAATTTCACAGCAAATTACCTGCACATAAGTGTCTGGAAAACGAAACTGAGAACAACTTTAATTAAAGAAATTCCGACTCGCACAATATTATGATTATGGCAGTGCACACATATTTACAAGTTCGCAGAGAAAACAAAAGGAGTGTTCCTTTTCCCACTGTAGTGGGAAGAAATATTTTCGTCAGGTACAGCACTGCGTATGCGCATTTTTCTCGGTAATTGTTTATGGCAAAAGTTGCATGCCTGAAAGTATGCACCATAAAAACATATAAATGTCAATAAATATGTAAAATATGTATAATTTACGTAAACTTCATATAAATATCAAATTTGAGATCTCACATTCTACCCCGACCTTTCAGAGCCATGCCATTCCTTCTTGTAATCGAAATAAAAATAATAAATTTAAAAAAAACAATACTTTAATAGTTTATTGTTAGTATAATGCATGGGAAATAGCATTTTTTATACCCTTGCCAACCAAATTATCACTGAAAACTTTCTTACGATTGTTTTGGCAAAAAAAGGACACTCCTTGCTGTAGAAAAATAGGTTTAAATAATTAAGCAGATGTTGAATACGTTCTGCAACAGCAGTAATAAATGATTTGAGCAATATTTTTTGGTCGAGGGCGCTCTGTGAATTCAAAATCAATGTTTTTTATGTTGGCGCCAAGCTGTCCACAAAAATAAAAGGAAGCCAGCGACTGAGCACACAGACATGAGACAAGGCTGGACTGGGGCAGGGTCGAGAGCACGGGATGCGGCATGAGGCATGAGGCATGGCATGCTTTGCGGATGCTGTTGCTGTGGCCAGGGGCGCCACACTGGCGACAGAACGCACCCATAGACAAAAGCTGCAGAACTATTTGAACTGGCGACGACAGAACACAAAATGTAACGCATGTAGGTCGTCTTAGCACTTGTATCTGTATCTGTGGCTCTGTGTGGCTGTATCTGTGAGTGTAGACTGTATCTGTGTCGGCGTAGCCTTCTCTGAGACAGAGTATCCTGTATATCTGTGAGTGTGTATATCCTGTATCTGTATCTGTGTCTGTGGTAAGACAAACAACAACTGCCAGCGCATTAAAGTTACTGTTCATAGCCAAAATAAAAAAAAAAATACAGAAGAGCAGAGCAGAGCAGAAAAAACCACCAGTCAGTGGTGTCTTTGGGTGTGTGTTTCTGTGCTTGACTTAATGGGCCGACATGTCGTCAGGGTTGTTCCCGCTCCCCATACTCTGCCCCTCAACAATAAAACTAACAAAGTTGCCCTATTATTTTTGGCCTGCGTAGACACTGACTTTGGACTCTGCTTTTTGCCACACACACATACACACACACACAAAACAATTTCTGCAGACATTTTGGCAGCAGCTACTATCAAAAGCGATGGACCGCGGGACAGAGACAGACACTCGCAGCTGGATAGAGTGTAGGCGAGTCCTTGGTCAATTCATGCGTTCCTCCCACTGCCATTTTTCCATATGAAAATTTCGATTTTATATAATTGCCACAACATTTTGCACAGACGGCTGCCAACAGCCCCAACTGCCGGCATTCGCTTTTAACGCATAAATTTTGGATTTCTGCCCAAAATGAAAGTTCTCCCAGTCGATGTCAGAGTGATTTAAGTGCTAAACATAAATAATTGAATTGTTGCAGGGCAACGCTTATGTGGCTTATGCATATATCGAGAATTAATGGACGGCCATTTGGTCGGCCAAGTGATTAACGATTTTCGGCAGAGTGTTTCAGGATCTAAGGATTATGATGGGGTTTTGTGAGTGAATCAATGTTGAGTGCAGATGAAACACCTATGGAAATTGCAATGAAAATCAAAGAGAAGATGTAGTAGAAATAAGGAAAAGAATTAGAACTTTAATCTCGTCATAGTCTGATTTTATAAATGTTTTCTGTGTACTCGTTTAATCTCATTTCCGTTTTAGTTAACTCATTTTTTCCACTTTCTTTCCACCGGCTTAAACAATTTGCAAGTAGCAGAGGGGGGATTGGCCAACGCAGCTCAAAGCACGAGGTTGAGGCTATCAAAACATCCGCCCATAATCCTGCACATCCAGCTAAAGTATTCCAAGGATTAAAGCTGCAGAATGCAGCTGAACTTTTAAGCTCCAAATGAAAAGTAAGCAAATGAAAGATTGAAAGAACTCTGGAAATGGTTATTTTTGTTGTAATTTAAGACTTATATTTTCATAGAAATTAAATAGAAATACAAAACTAAACGCGAAACTGTTGCCGGACAGATGGGAGCGCCTGTAGACATAACATTACCTATATGGCATACAAGAAAAGAAACATAAGGTACTGGTACTTTTAAGGGTGCTTCGGATGAGTGATTGAACTAAAGTTTTAGTGTCTGATTAGGCTGACGATGAGCAGACTGATGGCAGCGGCTGCCAGGGTGTAGTGTGCCCCCAGGAGGGAGGTGGCCCCATTGCAACCCTCCTCGCTGCAGGTGCATATGGTCTGCTTGTATCCCTCGTTGTCGGCAGTGAAGCAGGCATTATGCATTTTCTCCTGGATCCAGCCGCAGCCGCGCTCGATGCGGTGCTCGCCGTTCACCTCGAACTTCAGCACCGTCTTGCGGCAGAAGGCCTCCTTCTCGCCACGGGGCAGACAGTCCTTCAGAAATTGGTCATCACGCTGGGCGCGCGGTGTATTCACCAGCAAACCGGCGCAGTCCTCATTCGAATGCGAGTTGCACTGATGGCATCGGATGGCGTCCACTGAAATCGAAGGAGAAGACAAATTAATTGGATATAGGCAACCTCAAATGGCATTCAAATGCCGCGATTCGCCCTTTTCAAGCTCCCCGACACTTTGACAGTAAATTATTTTATTAGCCACCCCGCCCCCGCCATCGGCCAAAGCGCCGTCCCTGTCAGCCACTATGTCAGCCCCTGACTGACAAACCGACTCCTAAACGTAGTCCCCCCGTCAACGGACTGCAGTAACCTGAATAATTGCATGTCAACTGCTTTGGAGGCACAGCAAAAAATACTCGTAAATGCCGAAACATATCCAACTGCTGGCACGCGAGATGTCGAGAGGCGTACAAAAAACTTGCCTTGCCTATGGTTGAGCAGCCCTTGCACTGCAGCGAAGTGTGGTAGCCCTTACTCGGATATCATAGCTAATTTAATTTAATTTAATCTCTTTGTCACGCATTTCCTTCGCGTTTCTAATTTAATATGAATCACATTTGAATACCTTTTCAGTATTCCAGAAATTACTGAAAGTTTGAAAAGGTTTTGTAAATTCTCTATTTTATTTTATTCTATTTCTAGTTTCTTGCATAATTTCCTGACGAATCAGTGCAATATTTAGACTCAAAATAAAAAGATTTTCGACTCTCTATACGCAAATTAAATATGCACAAAGTCTCGCCCAATCTGCCATTTTGTGGCTGAACCATTAATAGAAATTACTTGCAAATATGAATTAAATTCCCCCATAATATTACTTTATTGCCACTACCATCGAGCAATGGAAAGGGTATTTCTGAAAGCACCATACCCAAAAAAAAAGAAACATTTCCACGCCAAAGGGCAAGGACATTTGTAGCAAAACAAAGTCAGACAAAAGTAATAGTGGTCTCTGATATTGTACTTGTAAATTTGAAATACTCGAGTGCCTGCAACTGCCAGTATTACAAATGTCGAGCGTTTAGTGGGGCGTATGCGCAATTCTTAGCATCGGGGAACAGGGTAGTAAAAGCGGTGGAAGTTAGACGCCCTCGTATGCTGCTCACGCACCCCCTTATTATTTTTTGGTAATTAAGCCAAATAAAAACACATACAAACATTGAGTAATAAAAAATCACCTGCCATAAAAATCTGCAGTGGCAGTGTCGATTTACATTTAGAATTTGAAATCGGATACGCAATTTGCATTTTACTATTTCCATTTGCATTTTACATTTGCTGCATATTCATGCGGCTTTTCAGCAAACTGGAACTTGCGCGAAAAAGGGAGGGTGGGGAGGCACAGGCACTCAAGCATGATATCTGTGACCCTCTGTTTGCATCTGTGAGCACCCACCCACAACTGTTGCCTTTGTTGCAAGTTTGCGGCTGACAATCGTACGCTAATGAAACGCGCTCTTGAAACGCTGTGCTCTTTGCCTTGGAAAGGGGGGCTATGGCAGGCAGGGAATGTCGGCTGAGAAAGTGGCAGTTGCCTGACGCTGGAATGCCCATAAACGTGAATATTTGCATTATCGATTATAGCCAATACAGCCGTATAGCCATATGTTCGGGTGCAAATAGTTTCAATATAATTTAACGCCATTTAAATATTCCCTTAGCAGGTGAGTGCGAGTTGGCAATTTGCTTGGACAATCAATTTGCTGAGAGAGATTTGCATGTACCCGTAGTAGAATAGAATATTTTACAGCGAGTATTGTGAGTATATGTGATGGAAAACGGTGTCTAATGAGCTGTAGAAAGATGTGCCAAGTGGTGACAAAATGTAGCTAGAATTAAAGCTATAGCCTTATAAATTAGAAAGATAAGCAGCTAGCCTGAAGTATGTATTTATGTAGGTACATAGGTAGAAGCATTCTTTCCTCTTTTATTTAAACAAACAGATTTACAAATGCTTGGTTGATGGGTTGCTTGACTGACTAAACATATTCGTTATCTTCGTCATCGCATCCCAAACAAATACGAGCATTATCAAAAGATTTTCCACTTGTCTCGCATTTTCTTTCCTTTCTAACAGCCCACATAACCGCATAACCACCCACACACAGCTAACTAACTACATGCATCTGTAACACCTACCCATATCAATGATCAAATATTGGTTAGCCATTCATCATCTGGCATGACTGCCACCTCAATTATGGTTTCCACTTGAGTTCGCTGCAGCTCAATTTTCACTTTTTTTGTAGAATTTTTCATCGTTCATTTATCCACAGGAAATGCTGAATTTTTGGCTCAATATTTGATAAATCAATTAAACTGCTGCAGTTTGATTTCCATTGCCCATTTGCAAAATGAAAAAGAGAAAAGCCAAGCAATCCGTTTATGTGACTCACAGACAACACCCACACAACAAAGTGAAAAGTGTTTGGCATGGCTTTCCACATCAGCGCGTCCCACTGAATGACGGGATGCGGTTGATTTCATTTGGATTTAAGCCCCCAATCAATTTGCTAAAATAAAAACTAATCAATTTGCTTAATACAAAGCAGAGAACAACTCAATTTGCATGTTGTATTAGGCCCAATTGGAAGTGGCTTTAATGTGATTAATGAAACAAAAGGCCGCCACCCCAATATCTCTACAGAGAATGTAATAGACCCAAACTGATTAAATAAATATGTAAAGCAAATATTATGCATATATATACTATATATACTAAATATGTGTTTATATTCACCTGATAAGAGATTGCCGATCAGAGCAATGCACACGGCGTAGGCGAGAAGCGACGTAGACATTTCTGCGGTTATTTTATGAAATATTTCTGGGTTGTGGCGGCGGATCTGCGAACTTGATCTCCAATCTGAGGTTAATCCTTAGTGTGGCTTATCCAACCTTCAAGCTGGAACAGATAGAAAATGTATTATATTCATCTGATATTTAGCTTTGTTTGTATTTTGATTAGCGCAGAAAGCGGCAGTGGCGGTTTTCTCATTAGCATTTTTATAGTATAATCTATAGATTAGTGTATGCTGTTTTTATTTACACTTTGTAAACCGGTATGAGAGTGTGGCCCCACAACGTGACAAGTGCTAATATTTTACTATAACTGCTTTGTTTGTTTCAGATTTACTATATATTAAACATAAAATATGTATAAATTTGTATGCAGGTGCATGCGAAATTTGTAGAGTTTTCCTTTACTTAAAGCAGGTCATGTCTAGGTAAATATTTTATAAAAGAATGCAATAAATTTCTCTATTTTAATTTTAAAAGTGGACTTTATTCATATAAAAAACAAATAGTTTCTAAAAAAACAATAATAATAATAAATATTTGAAAGAGAAATTGCAACTGGCTTCGAATTTTTTCGAAAATATTCGATTTAATTCTGATTTAAATCAGAGAGAACTCTTCTGAATATTTTCGTATCTTTGAATCTTTCGTTTTAACTTCTAAACTAATCTAAATAATTCTAGAATTATTTCTTCAGGATGTTTCGTTTGGTCATATTTAATCTTAATTTTTCTGCGTGTAAAACTGTGAGCCAAATTAATAATAAAAGAATACTTTAATCACTTATAACCCTAACTTAGCACTGTCAAAACATCAACATAATTCCACACAAGTATTTCATTCTGTTTCCGATTTCCATAATTCTTTCGACCCATTAAAGAGTTAAAAGTTTATTCACCTTTAACAAATCAAATTGATAAACTGCCACAATATTTGTGAATTCGTATATTTATATATTACAAAACACGCAATAATTCACACACAATCGGATTATTGTAAAGAACTTTTTATGTATGTAAAAAGCGAATGGCGGATGAGGAACTTGACGCGGGCACCGTCGAGATGAATCTGAAAACTCGTATTCAATATTTCAAAAAACGTTGATTTTTCAAAAAGAACGGCTCCACGAGAGATCAGCCAGAGAGAGAGAAAATGAGAGAACCAGATAGGGAGAGAGAGAGATTGTGGAAGCATTAAAAGAGAGCCAAGGCAGCAAATGGGAAAAACTTCCGTCACACGATCGTCTGCCTCGGGGTCGGGTCGGGGTCTTGAAGCCCCTTTGCATTGAATGATGGGGGAAAAGATCTCTCTCTCTCTCTTCCAGAGAGATGATGCTGCTTACAAGGTAAGTGGCAGTGATAAGCTCCGGCTTCAGTTGGTTTCAGCTTGGTTCAAAACAAAACAATGAAACAAGAAACAATAATGGAATACAAATCCACCGCTTTTAACCGGCTCAAACCGCTGTGACGTCACGTGAAGCCAGACAACAAAAGACAACTTTGCTTTACCAAAATGACATCTCATTAGCCGACATTAACCTCATATGCATAACTGCTTCCGAAAGAATAAGCAGGTGAATCCCTATTTCTTGTTGATTGATTTGTTGGGAGAATCCTAGGCACAGAACTGCTACAGATCGCTGCTGCTGCTGGTTCCGAAGGTTGCTCTATAACAGTGCTGCTGTTCTACACATTTTTCCCGCTCTCTTATCAGCTTTGAGGGATTAGTTAAAACTGGTATGCACCTCCAAAAACTCAGTTGTGTTGGTTTGGTCTAGTGCCCAGACACCAAGACTCTGACTCTTAATTGAGGAAAACATTAATGAGATTCAGTGAATGTGGTGTACACGGGCGGGCCTTATCTTCAGTCCTAGTTCAGGGCAGTTTCAGTTTCACAATAACATTTTCTTGAGTCATCGTGGCAAGTGCCTGCAACATTTAATTTATTTAATTTGTATTCGCTTCTTTATTCATTCACTATGGTATCCAATTCTGCAAGCCATGCAACTATGTAAATTTGAAATTTTCAGCTCTGCTCTCCAAGCAAAACGTAATCAGACCCGTGGTCAAATGCCTAGCCGGTGTTAGCCAGTTCGAGGCGGTTTACAGGTAAAACGATTGGGTTTATGACGTGATCGGAATGGAAAATTTGTTGTGGAAACATGGAAAGTGAGAGGGAATGAATGAAATTTAAAATGCGTATAAAAAAGGGGTATTTTTAAAGAACGATTCTTTCAAAAAATCATGCCTAAAAAATAGACGAAAAAGTGAAAGTTCCCAAAATATATGATAAATAATTAAAATACAATTATTGAATTACTAAATTATTTATTATTATTAAATTAAAATATTAAAATACAATATATTCATCATTCATCCATATTTTGATGTACTTGCATACGCTTGATCGACATGTAACAAACGAGTTTATTTAAAAAATAAATAAAGTTATTTGTTCCAAACATTAATGAAATTTTATTTTCATTTAAATTTAGCTCATATATCTACATTATTTTCTTGTTACAACTTTACAAAATTTTCGCTTTCAGTACTCACCATAAATACCACTTTGAATGTCACTTTGAAGTATGTTAATCTGTACGTTAATTCGTATGTACGAATGTATTTATGTACTTTCGATACACTCAAATAGCGAAATACCTCAACCGACAGTAAGCGGAACCAAACGCATGCAATTCGAACGTGTAACTAAATTCTACAAAAAGTTTTGTCTTTGGCTTTGGCGCAAATGGCATTGAGATCGCAACGATCCATGGAATCAGCTGTTCTCTAAGTAATGGCAGCACACACAAAATTTGATTGCGTTATTTGCAGGTCAGACCTTTGGATTCGAATTACAACAACAACAAAATTCTTGTTTGTGGCAACCGGTTTGGTTTGAATCAGCCATGTGCTTGTTTGTTTGTCTGTCTGTCTGTCTGTCTTTCTGGAGAGGTAGCGACCCTTCCCCTTTATAGCCACCCCCGAACATGTTTCGCATTTGATTTACAGATTAATTGTACAAAAAACAAAAAAATCCTAATGAGTTTCTTCTTAACAAAATAAACCAAATAAAATAAGAGGGAACAAAATGGGGCGGTTTCAGCTAATCATAACAAGGGGAACTTTATGCAAACACAAAAACCCAGTATTAACCGTTTCTTTCACCGCTCGAAAGCTTCAGATTAGAAAGCTTAGAATGTGCAAGCTTGCGCTTAGAAAGCTTTCTTTTAAAGTGCTTTGAGAGGGAGATTTAAATACCCATGAAAATTAGACAACCTTTTTAATTTTAGCGGAGACCAGGTGAAAGATATCGCGTTCATTTTTTATTCGACTTGAGCTATGTATTTACAAGCAGCATGATTTTCATTTACATAATTTGAAAAATTTTAACTGCTAAGAAAATTTTTTTTATTTTCTGAAAATTGAAAAACGTGCAACCATTTAGACAGTTTCATGTGTCCTTTATGCACTAGAAAATAATTAACAGTATCTATCCATACATACATATCTCAGGTAAAACACACATTTTGATTGATCAAACTAAAAATTGTTCTTCAAATTCGTACGATTCGTGGTGGAATAATAATAATGGGTTACACTTTAACCCTAAGACAAAACTGTTGCCCACTATCTATCTGTATCTATTTATAGCTGCCGCTTCAATTGAAGGAGAGTAACAAAAAAAGACATTGAGCAGAGATTCCAAGGAGGAACTACTCAACTATTCCCAAAGGGCAAGCCCCTGTATCAATCTCTCCCCATGGCTTCTTCAATTTTCGCGCTGATTGGGGCACAAAGGCAGTGGCAAAGCCCAAGCCAAAATGTTCCGCAAAAATATGAATAAACTGATCAAGTGAGAATGAGTGCGAGAAGGCGAGAGATAATTCAATTGGCCAGCGACTTGGGGCCACAATTTGTGAGACTTTTTGATAAGCTCGAAGAGGAAGCCTGCGATTAAGCTTAATTAATGCACTGAGCTGATTTATGCTTAGCTTATGATCATACGCGATCATATACACGTATCCACATACTCGTACATATGTATGCTTGTACATACGATACTTATATGAGTTCTTGGGCCTTTCACGTGTGCCTGTTTATTAAGTGTCTGGACGGCTGGTTGAAGTGGCGCTCAGGGTTAGGCCATGGGGTTCAGTGCAGTGTCTTTGCTTAATTGCAGGCTGCAATTACTTGAGAGTATCTCGGAAAAGTAAGCTGCAAAATTAGAATTAATTAGGACTTATTTGAACGAAAGTTAAGAAGAAGTATGGAAACGTGATGGTGTGGGGGGGAAGAGAAGAACGAGACCATAAGGGCATATGTTCTCCGTATATAGAGAAAAAACTTTTGTGCTTCTAGCTGCAGTTTCATTCAGTAGTTTTAAGGGTATATTTCATTTGCCTGGAAACAAGATTAAAGCTTCAAAAATTAAAAAATTGACATATATTTAAAATAATAAGTAGGAAAGTTTTCCTGAAGCATTTAATAATTTAATATAATATTATTATAAGGAATATTTTACAAAATATATTTTTAAATAAATTCTTGAATTCCTTATAAACATTATAACAATTAATCTATAATCTATAGTCATCTATAAACATATCTCTAATTATCTAAAATCCCTTAAGAAATGGTACCTAAATTTACGCTTGTATTAGAGCGCCAATATCATTTCTTATAGAGACAAAAGAAATTTAATTTAAAATGCAAATAAAATTTGATTGGGATGAAAAATATATTCCATAAACCCTGCCCATGTTTATCAGTGTAGCCCCAAAACCATTTTGCACTCGCGGCTCTTTCGGGGCTCGGCTCCTGCTCCTGCCCCTTCCCCTTCCCAGTTCGTGCAGCAGGCAGACGACACACTCAAAAAGCAAAAGAGGACGCAGTGTCGTGTCGCGCACTCGAAAAGCTTTTCGCGAAAGCTTTGGTGCTTGATGGGGTCTCTCGTCTCCATCTGCAGCTACAGCCACAGCCACAGCTCCAGCTGCCAGCTGCCTCCCACAAACGAATCATTCGTGCTACATTTGTCGTGTGGAGCTTGCCTGCCTGCCGGATTCGCCCAGTCGTTTGTCAGCCGTTTGTCAGCGTTTGCCGTGTGCGCCGTGAGCGCTTGTTTTTTGCACAAGCCAGCAGGGAAAATAAAATAGTATAATTCAAGCGTTTTGTGTGTAGAGAGATAGCCATCAGAAGCCGTGAATTGAGTCGAATCTGTAGCTCAATTGAACCAACAACAACACAAAAAGAAATAAATAAAACTGAAGAGAAAAGAACGAACGAATCAATTTTGCTAAATAACTTTGTGCTCACACAACTAAATAGTCGAGTTCCGAGTCGAGTCGAATCGCGTCACGTCTGGGTGTGTTTCAATTGGAAGAGCATCACCATCGTAGAATTGATAACAATTTAAATTAAAAAAATCAAATCAAATAAAAATGCAGTACATCTATGTGATTAGTGCGCTGATTCTGGCCATTGCCGTGCAGCAAGGTAAAAGGATACCCCATAACCAAATGGAACACTACCATAAGAAACCACACCACAGCCTCACTTATTCCTAGATAATACCATAGCCAGCGGAAGTCCTTACATCGCGATTACGATTACATAATAAGCGATTCTCACTCTGCCACAGAGAGACACAGCGAGCGAGAGAGAGAGAGTGGGAGAGAGCGAGAAATTTGGGAGGGGGCAATGATTTGGGGAGAGCTTGTGGCGCGCCGTCTTGACGCCACCAAGGAGTATCTAAGCCGGCCGCCATGGCGCCTTTTTGTCCATCACATCACGCGCCACCCCACCCCACCCCACCCCGAGCCGAGCCGACCCGACCCGACCCGACATGCACGCACGCACACTCCCGCCCAGTAGTAAGAGCATTTGCATTCCAATAGATACATATATCGTGTGTGTAAGTTCCTTTCTCTCGCTCCCGCTCAAAGCCCTGCTGCCTGGCCAAAAAGGAACTTTTTTTCTCTACTTCATTTGTTCGCCGATGGCTCGGCTCGGCGCTCTCTTTCCCACAGCTTTTTTCCTCCAAAAAAAAGGAGCCAGGGCATTGTCTTTAAGGGTTGTTGTCCTGACACCCCAAAACCAAAGAATTTGACACCTTAACAACTATCTGTGGCTACAAGTTACAAAGTCCCCCCCACCACACTATCGTTAAAAGAACTCAAATGACAGGGCCTAATTACTCTGCATTTCCTTTGGGCGCTTCCTGGCTGCTTTTTGCAAAAGTGGATCAAATTTGTTTCCCCCCCCCCCTTCAGTTTTCATGCGTCGACATGTGTGTATGTGCAAGGATAATGTAGGACATGCGCACTCTATTTGGCCAAGAGTCCGGCCAGGGGCCAAATGCACTAATCCCATATCCCGAAAGTCGTCTTACATAAAGGCAATGAATCTTCCAATGAAAGTCCAATCAGAGAAAGGGGAATGAAATCTGTGTGTTTTGTAAACAACCCAAAAGATTCCTCAGCCTTGGTTTATACTCAAATATAGATACATATTCGTATTCGTATTCGCATTCGCATTCGTTCTTATATGCAACGCAATCAATGCAATTTATGGCTATTTATAAACGCGTATAACAAACCTTAATTTGTCGTGACTAACAGTGGAAACTTTTAAAGCTTTTATGGCTAGAAATTTTCTAAATGAATATTTAATGGGAGGAAGGCACTTTAGAACGGGAAATCGCCTGTCGGAAAATCTATACAAAATGTTCCACTTTAGGGTATTTCATTGATTAATTGATGGATTGATTGATTTGATTAAATTGATTGCCCATCCCGGATTCATTCGGGATTACAGTTTACATTTTTGGTTTAAGGTCACACAAATTCTATGGCACGGATTGCATGATTTTATCAACGTTCGAGAGGTTCTTAAATATTTAATTACACTAAATTAGAGACAGGGAAATGATTTATCTATTTTAAGCGTACTCTAACAAATGATATGCAGCTATAGTCAGAGTTGCACCTTGCTGGATTTATGCATGGATGTTTTAGAGTATCTTTCAAGCAGAGAAACATGCACTGCCCCGATCTTCCTGCTACCCCCTTTTAATCAATATACAAAAGATCCCTCTTATAGCCCACTGAGTGTGAGCTCCTTCTGCTACTTTCCTTTCCATTGTTCTCCACTGCCGCCTAAAAGCAGACATTATTCCCCACTATGACTCGGCCACTTTGCTTATGTAACCCAGATTGGGTGAGAAATAGTAGTAGGAGAAGGAGGAGGAGGAGTAGCAGCAAAAAAAAAAACTAGCAAAGTTATTGGAGTCCATTAACAATGTCTGTTGCGGCTTCAATTAGCAAACGGCTCGGAAGAGACTCGCAGTCGGGCACTAATGGAGGCGTCGCTTCCATCACTGGCATCGCATCTCAACCTCAACGTTTCCGTGCCATTGTGCCATTTTTGGCACACAGCGTGAGGCAAAAGTGCATCACAAGTTGCATCATTGGAGAGCAAAGAGCAGAGAGCAGAGAGCAGCTGTAAAACCAACATTTTGGATCTGATCTGTATATTCGTATTCGAAAGATTAAATAATGCGAATCTCGTGTCGCGCACGACCTTAAATTCAATTTAGCTAGATCAGAGATGGGTACTATAAAGATCTCTTTATAGAGAAGAATCTGTGTAAATCATTTGTCTGATATTTGTTTATATTCGTATGCTTTTTGCTATTATTCTTTTCTTTTCTTTTCTGTTTTTTTTTTATCAAACTATTAAGGTTAAACGTATGCTAGGAATGGAAAATTTCTAATTGACATTAACTTGGTTTGCTTTGTGGTCAATTAAGTGGCATGCTGAGTGCCAGCAGCAGGCAATATTCACAGCAAGGGGGGGGGAATATTATATTAGCCAAAGGTATAGGTTGCCATTAGCTAATGGGAAAGGGACATTTTCCAAGCAGGATGCAAAAATGCAATTATTGAAATCAAATCAGTTGTGTGTCAGAGGAAATTAGAAGAAAGTGCACACATTAAGCAGAAAGAAAGTAGATCAAAGTGAATCAATACTATATTTACCCGTTTTTTTTTTCTTCTACTTTTTTCCAGGCTATGCCATTAAATGCTTTGTCTGCAATAGCCACAAAGATGCCAACTGTGCGCTGGACATACCGCCAGAGAATTTGCTTAAGGACTGCGATGAGCAGTACTCATCTCGTGGCAAGGGAATACCCACCTATTGTCGCAAGATCACACAGATCATTGAGTTCTCTGTGAACAGCCGTAAGTTTAGAAACTACAGGCAATCCAAAGCACATTTAAATATGTGATAATCTTTTGTTTTTGTTGCCGTTGCAGTGCCTCCAGATAGCCGCGTGATACGGACCTGCGGATACCAGAACCAGACCTCGACCAACTATTGCTATTCGCGTGCCGGCTTTGGTGGACGCCAGGTGGTCTGCTCCTGTGATACGGACAATTGCAATGGCGCTGCCACGATGAGTGCCTCCACAGTGGGTGTGGTGGCCATGGTGGGTGTCCTGCTGGGCGCCTTCCAGTGGCTGCAGCGTTAGGACGGCCGTAGAGGAGACGAGACGAGACGAGACGCAAGGAGCCGCCTCAGTTGTTTTTGTTTGATTTGTTTTTTTCGTCGATTCATCATCCAACCCAACCAAATGTTTTTTTGTTTTTTTCGTATTCTTGAACTTCTGTGAAACCCGTTGCCGCGCTTTACACCCCCTCACCCTCCCATCAAGATGGTCCACACGTAGAGCTGCCACAGAGCTTGGTAAGAATCGAAATATCACCACCAGAAGGATAATCACATGTCAAATCTAATGGGAATATATGTATCATTTGCAGCTCTGTCCCAGCATGATTTTTGTAACACATTTTTTGAATGGAGAACCGTAAAAAGCTTTATACGAAACATTTAATAAACGAGAATTGCTTAAGTTGTAAATGTATATAAAAAACAAAAAGAGATCATGTTACATTTGGCCAATATAATCGTTCAAATCTATTTTACACACACACTCACAGATACTCGTACTCGGAGTATGAGCATGAGGATGAATTTTTGAAACTAAAGTACGAGTATAATAAATATATAACGATAACAAAACTAAAACTAAAACCTACCGCAGTTAAAAAGTATTTAAATGAAATCCAATTAAACCAAACGAAATAAAAGTCAAAGGAGGCCCCCCAAAAAAACCAAAAACCAAAAACTAACAGTAGTACATAAACTATAAATGTTAACACAATCTTTGTCTAAGTTTCTCTATTTTTATTTTCATAAGACTTAAAATTAACGGAAGAAAAATCTAAAGAAATTTCTAAAGGCAAAATTCAAACGCTAAACAAACGAAAAAAAAGTATTTAAATGGCAGCAAAGGCCCTGAAAAAAAGCATTAAATATAACAATAAACACACACCACACGCGACATACACTTTATAGTATAATTAGAAAAGAAGCTAAAAGTAAGAAACAAGAAAGGAAAATCCCCCCCCATAAACCTAAACCCAAACCCATTCCTAGAATAGTTGAAACACGCTTGAAGGACACCACACAGCCAGAGGGCCAAGCGAAAAGCACGCTCCCATCCTACGCACTAACCAAAATGAAACCAAAAAAAAAAGTGAATAAAAATGAAAGATAAACACTCGATGTTGTAACCAACTGCCAAAAACGGAAAACTATGAGAATCGATTCATCTACCGCATAGAAGGAGGAGAAGGATGACACCGACACCAAATCCATAAATGGAGCCCCTCACCCCACATAAAAAAAAGGAACCAAAATTATGGGACATCCCCAAGTAGTAGAACGAATGCAAAATGTGCAAAAGTGTTGTCCATTGTAGAGATAAATGCAAGAAAATAATAATAATACAAATAAAATTCATAACTGTATGTTAAACGTGTTACAGAAACCAAAGCAACAAATACATGATTTTTAGTTCAAACAAATAGCAAAATACACAGTTTATAGTGACAATTTTTTAGTTAAGAATGAAATCTCCTCTAAAAAAATGCAATATTTATAATGCGATAAAATTGTAAAATGTTTAAAGTGAAAAACAATAAATATGAATACAAAAACTGAATGTTTTTCTGTGTGTGCCCGGGCCAGGGGAATTGCTTAAAATACATATATTAAAGAGCTCTTCTGCGGCATGCACTCGCACCATATAATACACACGTTATACTGGGGTTAAGTTAAAAGCAGTGTGCGCTCAATCATAAATGTAGCCGTGAGATCTTGGCCAGATCCAGTCCACTTAGTCCGTATGCACCACCCGCTTGAGGGCCAGGTAACAATGCTTGGTGCTCAGCTCGTGGTAGCCCACGGGTCCGCGTTCACAGTCGGCGCACACCAGAAACTTCTTGCCGTCCACCGTGTGGGAGAAGCCAATGTTCTCGAACGACAGCATGTCCTTCACCAGCCAGAAGTGCTTCAAGGGCTCCGTGTTCAGGCTGTCCGCCTTCCTGTCCTGCTTTTGCACCATCAGCGGTACATCTATCTGGCAGAATAGCGTCAGCATTAGAATTTCTTAATCATGGATTGGATGCCGGGACTTACCTCCTGCTCGCTGTAGCTCCCCTCGCTCGCCTTTAGCATCAAACTGTTGCAGAACTGACAGCGCACATTGGTTTTGTTCTTGCCATTAGCTATTTGCTCGGGAATGTTAGCTTCTTCAGTCATTTTTTGCTTAATTTTTATTTTATTTGAGTTTTTACCACAAATAGGGATGGCAAGTTATTGATATACAGCTATCGATATATATATTTTGCTGATAGTATGCTTATCGCTGATAGTTTTGTGCGATAAATGGATTGGCTATCGCCGTTTTATTTTGAAAATTGTTATCAATCTATTATAGTTGTTCGTAGCTCTGTTCGAGCTATGTAGAGAAATTATCTTATAATATAATAAGAATATACTTCCTGCTGCAAGTTAAAAACCTCTGCCCTTTTTTAATATACCCTCTTCAAGGGTATAATAAATTCGCAAGATTCCAGACAAAACTAAATTTGTTTGATGATACTCGTATTTTCCCTGTAATTTTTCCACCACACAACAATCTGTTTGCAATGCACCACCGCACCAACTTTAACCCCATTAACAGTACCCCGCCACGGATATCCCGTGGAGCTGTGATAAGCACTTGCAGCTGGAAGCTTCTACCTGGGGAAACTCCACAGTCCAAAAGACAGTCTTGATTGACACCTGTCCCTGTCCTGGTTTATCTAAGAAGTTGCTGCCACTATAAAATCGTAGCTGCTTTGAGCCGTGCCACAGTTTAAGTCGTCGGACATTCAAATATGTTGAAGCTTTGCTGGCTATACGTGGCTGTGGCCGTGGCCCTTGCCTGGCTGGCTGGTGAGTTATGGATACGCTTGGACACGGCTTTGTCTCCGCTTCTGTTTGAGTCGCTTCTGGCCGAGTTAATACACACACAAAGACACAGCAAGACAGACAACACTGAGAACTGGGCACTGAGCACTGAGAGTGCGCTTTCATTCAGAGTAATTAAAGCGCTCCAGGCCAAGAATTAATTGCTGGGGTACAGCAACCGGTTTCGAGGATTACAAATGCGTCAGCATGCCCTCATTAAAGTGTTTCTTTTTCGGTTGTGCCCTGGGGTGGGGTCATCATGGGGAGTACGTCGAATCGCGACAGATCAGTCGATGGGCAACGTTTAGCTGGTCAAGATGTCCTCCAATGCGCTGGCCTGCATCTGCAATGTGATCAGTCCCTGCCGGAATGAAATCTCCAACACCTTTGTGGTTATCCAGTGGCTCGTCACAGGCTTTGCGGCCCTGGCCCAAGTGGTGCGGCCCGTGCTGCTGCTCTGTAAAGTGTTTTATCTAACCGACTGGGGCTTTAACTGATTGCTTTCCGCTTCTCTTTTGCAGTTGGCATACGCGGTGAGGTGGCTTTGAGTCAGGAGGACTACAACAAGACTTGGATCTACATGCCAAATGGCGAGGGCAAGCCAGAGGTCGCCTATTTGGTGGAACCACCGCCGGAGAATCGAATCAATCTGCCGCAGCTCATCAAATTTGAGCTCTATGGAAGGTGCGTTTGCTGCTTCCACTTACATACAGACTTACAGCTTCCATTTCCCATCCTCTGCTCCTTCCAGCGATGCCTCTCTCAGCTCCAGTGCAGACTTCTGGATCGACGACAACAACTTTGAGTTCTCGCAGCGGCACAAGCGCGATACCTGGCAGGAAATGGCCGAGAAGTTCAATCCCGCATTGGACACCAAGATCCTCGTTCACGGCTGGAAATCGAGCACCATGAGCAACTCCATTCAGTCCATTCGCGGCGCCTACATAGAGCGCGGTCAGGTGAATGTCTTCGCCATCAATTGGCAGGATCAGGCGGACAATATCTATTACCTGACCCCGGCACGCTACACGGTGCAGGTGGGCAGGGCGGTGGCCAAGCTAATCGATCTGCTCGTCGAGGAAAAGGACGCAGATCCGCAGCGCATTCACCTGATCGGGCACAGTCTGGGTGCCCATATAATGGGCTATGCGGGCTCGTACACCAAGTACAGGGTGAATCGTATAACAGGCCTGGATCCGGCACGACCTGCCTTCGAGGATTGCATTGGACCGGAGAATCATTTGGATGACACGGATGCCAATTTTGTGGATGTCATACACAGTTGTGCGGGCTATTTGGGCTTTCGCAAGCCCATTGGCATGGTGGACTTTTATCCGAATGGCGGTGGGCCACCGCAGCCCGGCTGCAAGGAGCTCTCGCAGATTTTCAGTGAGTAATTAAAGCTTAAGCTTAAAGCCTCTTTGTGCATTTTCCAATATATTTTCTCCAGCTGGTTGCAGTCATGGCCGCTCCTACGAGTACTATGCCGAGTCCATCAATTCCCCCAAGGGTTTCTATGGCGTGCCCTGCTCTGGTCTGGACGAGCTGAAGGGCAAGAACTGCACTGGCAGCAAAATCCTGATGGGTGATCCAGTGCCACGCGATGCTCGCGGCATCTTCTTTGTGAAGACCGCCAACAAGCCGAGCTATGCCCTGGGCATAGGCGAAATCTTGAACTGATTTGCGTCATTTTCTGTTTAAAATATCAAAAATTATTAATATTATTATTAGCATTAGAATTATTTACAACAAAATCACTTAGAAATCTATGAATACAAAGCGAAACCATCAATCCATCAGGACTGGATCTCTTAGGCTATAACATCCGTGCGTCGTCGAATGATATTGCTGCTTCGATGGCTGCCATTCGGCTGCAGCAGATCCTCGGGACGTGGCTCGATCTCGTAGTGCTTGTAGCCATCCACATCGTCCAGTTCCTTGGAGGTAAACTTGGCCAGGAGTGTGCCGCGCCCGGCATAGGGCGGAACATACTTAAATGTGGCTGCCGCTGTGCCGCCCACAGGGATCTCAGTAATCTGTGGAATAAGTTTACATTAGCAACGGACATTCGGTAGGAAGGGGAAGGCATGCCGACCCACCTTGAACTTCAATGGCTGCTCTATGCCCGGTCCCTCGACGGTAAAGAGGCCCTTGTGCAGCGGTATGGGCAGCGGATTGACCAGACGCAGGATCACATCCAGCTCCCTGCGTGCCACAATGCTGCCCTCCCCCATCTGGAACTTGATGTCCGGCTTGCGCACACGGAAATCATCCTGGGCATAGTAGTCGTAGTCCGTATCCTTCACGCGCGCAGACGCGGAGATCTGGAAGGCCGCCTGGGAGGAGAGTTTCTCGAAGTACTCCTCGAAGATCACCTCCATGCGCACGTATTCGCTGGCCTTTGGCTCCAGCTGCAGCTCGAAGCCCATGGACTTCACCTCCATGGCGCCGACGCCCGTGTAGAGCACCGCATCGCAGTTGACTTGACCCGTGGCCAGGTGGCTCTTTTCCGCACTCTTATTGGTCACCTTTAGCACGACGCTGAAGTTCTCGCCAATTTTGATGTCGTCCTTCAGTTCCATATCGAACTCCACCTCGTTGAAGTTGTCGTTGAGGTAGTAGCGACTGAAGGCATGTCGGGACTGCTTCAGGGCCCTCAGCATGGTGCTGCGCTCCTCCTCGGAACGCTCCGCATGCTTGTAGCTGTCCGTGATGTCCTCGCGATCCCACTTGAGCACCGCCTTGGTGCTGATCAGATGGCCAATGGCCAGGGTGTCCTTTCGCAGCAGCTTCAGCGGCTGGCTGGGTCCGTTGTAGCGCCAGTAGAGCTTATCCGCGTTGACCTCCGCAAAGACAAAGCCACCGTCGAAGGGTCGCAGGATCTCGCCATGCTTCACCGCCAGCACAGAGGCGGGGCCCACGCGGTACATGTTGTCCGATGCCTCCTGGGGCGTGGCGTCCACCACCTGCCAGCCATCGTAGGCGCCATGCTGGCCCACGCCCAGATCGGGTCGCTGCATCCACAGCTCGTTCCACACATGATAGTTCCAAATGGAGTCGGTGGTCTCCGCGTCCAGCTTCTTGTTGTTGGCATCGATGAAGACGTCGACGGTGAGCGAGGCCTGGGTGTCATGGGCCGACGAGTAGCAAGTGATGATGCGAGCGGGTATGCCCAGACTCCTGGCAATGGTGGCCAGCACGCCACTGAAGTTCCAGCACTGCGCGAACTTCACGGACTTCTGGGTCTTGTGGAACTGCTGCAGGATCTCCGCGGAGCCCGTCCACTTGGTGGGCGCCACGCCGCCCGAGAAATCCTCCGACCAATTGCCCAGCAGCACACCATCGTCGTCCACCGAGTTAACCAGCGCGGACAGGGCCCGGGCCACGCGCACAGGATCGCCCCTGTAGGCGGGTGGAATCCTACCGACGGTGCCGAGCACCTTCAGGCTGCACTCGAGCACATGCCGCTCGAACTGGCCAATCTTCCACACCGAGGGACGCAGCCGGTTGTAGGAGCCGCGCCAGATGAGCGTTGTGTCGTGCATCACGTACTCCTTGCGCTGCTCGCGATCCTCCAGATACACCTGATCCTCGGGGCACCAGGGATTGAACAGCACGTAGATGGGCAGCGGCACGGGATAGCTGCGCGAGCCATCGCCCAGCAGCTTGGTGTCGATATCCAGGCGCCACTCCGTCACGGGGCAAGTCGATGGCGGTTTGATCAGCACCGTCAGCAGCGCACCCTCGTGTGTCTCAATGCCCGCACCCCATTCCAGGGTGTCGCCCAGATCGTCGATGCCGTCGTGTGGCACCAGAGCCGTCAGTGTGCCATGTCCGGGCCTGGGATTCTTGTCATCGGCCACGCTGAACACAAAGTTGATGGCATCCTTGCTGGGGCTGTAGTCGCGATTGAGCTGGATGCGCAGGCGGAAGGGTTCGCCACGGCGCACGATCAGCGCCTCCTTGGCTGCCGCCGCATAGAAGTGGCTCGTGTGGTGCTCATTGTGGTTATCCTCCTGGCAGAGATCCACTCGCAGCACGCCCAGTACCGCCGAGAGAGCAGCATCTGTATAAATCACACACAATCAGAGATTAGTCATTCGTCAGGCTCTCATTACAGTCATCTGTCACTGAGCAAGGGGTTTCGGGTTGATCGGCACTGTCTGCGATGATCTCATAAAGTAAATGGCCTGTCAGCTGGTCTTCCACTGTGATCCATGCGATCCCCTTCCTCGCAACATGCGCTCACTGACGACTAATCGCCTTTGGCCATAAACATAACAAACTTGTGCCACAATGGCCAAAAAGTTCAATGCCAAGCCAATTAATTCTCTCAGTGGACGACAATCAAAATCAAAGTGACGCCAACGCGCAACAAACCAACAACAAGAAAATAGTTCAGCGAAATCTTTTCCAAGCAAGTAAGTATGTGTCAAAGAAAAAGAAAAATCAATTGGTTGAATTTTATGTTGGGCCAAAGAAAATAGAAATGCCTAAAGTTTTGGCCTGTGCAATGTCAATATTTGAATAAAAGATTTTTTGTATATTTAAAAGCCAATTTAGGAACGTTGTGAATCACAGTCAATTATAGGCAAAAAAGGTTTCTCCATTTGGTCAATAAAAAAGGCATCGAAGCTACACATTTGAGTACATATAGTAGGTATCTCATTTTAACATTTTAATAATTATTTTTAGCGGAAAGAAGAGCATGTCAGCTGAAGCATAAAAGATTTCTGTCAACACAACATACATATACTATGTATGTAGAACTTAAAAAAATAAGTAAAAGTAATTTTTCTACTAAGGAAACTTGTTTGAAAATCAAAAGTTTATTATTACCAAAGATCTTATAATAAACGGCAAGAAAAAAAAAAAATATTCGTTCTTCTTTCGTTAAAATTCACTTTTCTACAAATTAATAAATGATCAATGGATTTTGGCCAAAGAAAATATTATTCCCCCAGAGATTATACATTTCAGCACGTTTAGCTATAAATTGAAACTATAAAGAATATACATATTAACTGAATTTTGAAAACTAAAAATGCATCTAATATTTTTTGCTTAAAGCATGCCATTGGGGACTCTAATTGCGAGGATTAAAATTTGATTTGTTTGAATTATTTATTGCTTCAATAAACATACAAGGAAACTGTGGTATTATTATTGATTGCATTTTTTTTTTGAATTTTTAATGTTTTAAATTTTGTTTTTGTAGAAATCTTGTTTAATGATGAACAGGTTTCAGAGAAACGACTGAAAGCTTCTTAATTTTTAGGAAAAGTAATTTTGTGTCTGAAATCCAATTACCAAAACGTAATCCAATAATAAAAAGCGGTCTCTGCCCCTTTTGGTTTCACTTTCCCTGCGCAACAAAAGATATTTCCCCATTCTCCAATCTTGTGCCATAAAAATCTAAGCACATTAGCTAGAGAGCATGATCAAAAAGGAATAGTTTTTTTTTATTGGGAATTATCTTGCAATTATGATTTGTGGCTGACAGAAGCCTCGTTGTTCCACATGGCTGCCGCTGCCCACCTTTTTGTGCGGTGTTCAATCAGGAGAAGCAAACAATTGAATCGTTTCAGATGAACGTTTGATAGGAATTTCAACTTTGATAAGCAAATGTAATCGAGTCAAATATTTGATGTAGTATATATTCACATATATATTATTCGCTTAAAGATATGCATAATGAACGTATGTGTTTGTGTGTTAAATAATTGCGCAAAATAGCAAAAACCTCCCGAACGTGTCAAACAACCCATACAGAACAACAAAAACGGAAACAAAACACACACAAAAGTGAAGTCATAGACCGAAAAAAAATAAATTAAATACAAATCAAACAAAAGCAAAAATTAAATAAAATTCCAACGATTCGAAAATATTTCTAGTAGTTGCCCAACAACAAGTGTCATATAACACGCTTTGTTTTAGCTAATTTATGTTAGGTTTTTCTATGATTGTTTTTAGTCGTTTAGTCATTTACTTTCAATGTCAGGACCAGGACGTATGCTGCGGAAAGGATTCACGCGTCTGGGCGGGGACTGTGGCCACCAGCGTTGGATCCAGCTGGGTGTATAATTCCGGTAGTTCCAGTAGCTCATTTTAACTGCTGGCTAACACGATTCGGCTTAGTGGAATTAATGCCTCGGAGCACTATTTATGTGCTACGGTTTACACAAGCGGCAACAGTAACCGTAATAACTATAATAACACAACGCGGCGACCTAACGGAAACGCTTCAAAGTCTCTTTTTCGAATAGGTCTGTTCTGTTCTGTTCCGTTTTGGTCTTTGTCCCGTACGATTATATCGAAGCGAACGCGGCAACGCTTTAAACTAAACTGATCACTCTCTGCTCTGCCCATCAGTAAATCGCTTGGGCCAGATAGTTGCCTCGCCTCCAATGCGTGTGTAGCGCTCTCAAAGATCTCTCTGCATCTCTCTCGGATTGGTAGTCTATCATTAATAATTATTTACGGGAAGCAGCGCTTGAGGGCAGCTTCTAAGCGAACCGTTGGTAAGACGACGAAGAAGCTGTTTCAGGCACTACGTCATCGTTCATGGGCAAACAACATCTTGATTGGAAACCGCCTCAAAAGAGCATAGAGAGCAAACTGATTGCTATGCACGGTACTCGTAGGAGTCGAGGGGTATATTCGTATTCATATTCCAAATGTATTTATCAGGCAGAACAATAAGTTTAAAAATTTAATTGTTGCTCAGAATTAACAAAAGATTTTATAAGGAAATGACTGTAGGAAACCTCTGGAAAACTAATGGATTAAAAATGACTCAAATAGGATCAGAAACCATCACTGAGCATGATTAGAAAATCAAGCATTTTAAAGATTTGTAAGCTACTTTTTATAGTTATAAAAATAACTAATTTTAATACTTTTTAAGACAATGAAATAATATAAGTTGCAGGCAGCCTTCGGTTTTCCTCCCAATTATCAATTATTAATAATAATAATTAATATTATTAATTAGCTATTTTTCTACCTAATGCACAAAAATTGGTATACCACAGTCGAAACTTCCCCAGCTAAACTAGTTTTTCTTAGGAATTTCTGAATGATGATCATCAATTTGCATTCGCAATTTAAGCTGTGATCTTATTAATCATTTCATTCGCTATTTGTGAGTAATTATTGTATAAATATCGAGTAATTTTTCGGCTATAGAACTGCTGTGCAAGATCATTGTCAGCCGGCAGGTGTTTTTAGCCTTTTGTTTGTTTTTATTCAATTTTCAAAAATTGCAACTATAAAATGAAATAATTCGAGTGGCTGAGTTGGCGATCTAGACAAGACACAAGATTGTGGGCAGCTAACTACGAATTCTGCTACACCCACGGCAGCAATTTGCATACATAAAAGGCGATATAAATACTCATAGAAGCGAATGCATAATTGTTGGTATGAGTACGAGTATTGCACAACAAAATAAATCAATTTGAATAGATAGTCAACAAAAAAAGTAGCAAAGATCAAATGAAATGGGGACAAAGAGAGCCTCAGATTTGGAGTAAACTTTTGGGAGAGGAATATTATTTTTACGGACAAAAAGGAATATAAATAAAATCAAATTTGGGAGAGAAGAAACCCTCAGACATGGAATAAATTAACAATATCCTCTAAAGTTGATTCTTCAACGGCTACAAAAGATAAAAGTAAATAAATCCAACAGACAGATTTATTCCGATATTATTCCTTCCCTAATTCGTTATCCTCATCGCCACTCACCCGTTTCATCTCGACTGGGCGCTCCTGCCATATAGTTTCCATTGACATTGCGCACGCGTGGCTTGGTCTCACCCTGATCATTCCTCCTCCACCAATCCTTACACTTTTTGCAGTACGACAGTTTCTGTCCCATGCTTCGTTCTCAACTATTCTGAAACTTTGACCAAGGCAGGGCGTAGTCAAGCTTCGAGTATATCTATTGTCAAACCGGTTCGACTGTCAATAAGGCTTTGATAAGGCTTTGGTGTGGTTTGTGGATGTTTTCTGATGAACTTGTAGGTGCGGCGATATTTGAACTTCAATGCCCGAAGTGTGCGAGCTGTCCACAATTAGCTGGCATTTTACTCGTATATTTGGCTAAAGTGCAATGGAATGCAAAGTCGCGACAATTTAAACTGTAACAGCTGGGATCACGTCATCGTCAAAAGCTTCGAATTGAACTGAAACGCGCCAATGCTCGACGGCGACTGTTGAGGTAGCCCGTTCCATTCGGGCATGGCATCTTCGCTCAAGTGTTTTTACATATTATTCCAATGCCTGACCCCAGTGTCAGATAGTAGATGGCCTCGGGTGTCCAAAAACCAGACATGCGTGCGTAAATTGATCGGCTTTAATGGAATGGAGAATAGAAACATCTCTGAGAGCGGATCGTAATTGTGTCATGATTGACTTTTGATTTCTAGATGGTGTTGCTGCTGTTCTTGGGCGGCCAATTAATGCCTTAGGTGTAAAGATGAGGTGTGGCTGCCTGTACAGAATCTCGGCATCTTCATCGAAACTACATATTTATTCAAGGCAATCGCTGCTAAGGCGGATGCTGTCTCTTGAGTAGTTTGTTGTTTTTTTCGAGGCTTTTCCAGAGAACATAGAACATATTGCAGGCAGCCTCTAAGCTGGTAGTTGGAGAAGAGAATTAACCATTTAATGAATGATTTGTTGTATGGAGAACTTTCAAACTTACCTCGCAGTTTACTTTGGTTTTCAGCCAGATCGCGGGAGTTACTCAATATAGTTATCATCCCATTTAAAAATTTAAAATAAAACATAACAACAAGCAGCTGATCACCGGCGATAGTTACTCGATTACTTTTAGCGCAAATATGAGCAAAACTACTATCGAAAAATGTCGATTGAATTCATATAAAGAGATCATAAGAGAAGCAATAAGAGAGTTTTTAAGTTAAGAGCAACCCCAGAATGCTAATATATATAGGTAAGCATTAAGAGAACCTTATCTCTAAATGTTCTCCCTTTTGTATACCCTTTACCGACGGTTAATACGAATTTTACGAAAGTTTGTAAGGAAGGAAGTTTGAAGGAAGCTTCGACCGAGACCACATTAACAACATATATTTTTGATCAGATCGGAACTATCATTCGAAAAAATATATCATATAAATCAAATAACGTTTTGTCGAACTGAAAGGGTATAATAACATTAGCGCTCGGTTTCTGACTCTCTTCTACTCACGATTTTCCCTATTGTAAATGCGATAAACATTTATGCTTTCAGTTGCAGCTTCAGCTGGATATCTGATGGACTCGAAATTGTTAGAGATCCCTCGTGATCAGTGGACAATCTTGAGAGATGTTTATGCCGGCGATCGCACAAATCTGACCGGCTATGACTTGATAGAATACTTCTTAAACTGGACACCAAGCTCGAGTGATGAAACGATCAATATATATACAACTGATATAGAATTTGCAGACCACGGCAGATATATTTTAATTGTTGCTCTCCGCTCTTCATCGGTGATCTATAAACTAATGTTAATATTTTTCTTGCAGCATTCTGTGGCCCAAAAGGCGTATGTTTATTTGAATACTGTGAAGGGGTCTCTGGAGGAGCTGCAATCGGCGCTGTGTACCTTAAATCTGCAAACTTGGCATTTGATTTGTGGCTACGATGAACGCTTAAAGCCAGTTGTTGAGTATTATTGGTCAGCCAGAGGACAGCCATGTAAGCTGGTACACCAAGAGACGCTTGTCTACCATTTGCCCAAATCCACAATTAAGAAATTTCCACAAACGTAAGACTGTAATTCCTGTCTCTATGAAATATTAGCTAATAACCAAAACATTTCAGAGATACCCCACAATTTCAGTGTCGTAAGCTGGAGCCTGTAGATTCTCGGGTGGTGGATAGGCATTGGCCCTATCGCTCTGCCGAGTCTCTGCTACTGATAACAGGGCTTATACGGAACAATATTAGTGCTGGTTTCTTTGAGACTGGAACACTGCATGGCTGGTGCCTCAGGTGCGACAGGGAAAGGCTTTTTGTGATATACTCTTACATTGTTACCTTTCCTCCATAGATCTCCGCATGGCAGCTTGAGCAACTTGCATGTCTTAGCCGCGTACAGACGTTCGGGTGTGGGTTCCAAGATAATTCGTTACATGGCCGAATTAATTGAGGCTAAGGGCTCTGAAGTGCTGGCCACTGTTGTGCCTGAGAATGAGAAATCACGCAAAATGTTTGAGAAACTTGGATTTGAAGTGATCAACAAGCTGTATTGGTCGGCAGTGCCAGAAACACTGAAGCAGGCAAATGAATAATATTTTATTATCACTGAAAAGCCTTAAAATATTCCATATATTGCGAGCTCTTAAAGAGGGCACAAAATAATTATTTAAAAAATAAATTTAAATTTTAAAGTACATACAAATAGTTATCTACAGAATTCACAGATTTGTTTTACTACACCGATAGAAAAAAGCCCTGAAATTTTAATATTTTCACTTAGATTTTAATATTTATGCCATTGATTTTCATCCAAGAGTGATTGTATTAAAATTGAATATTTTTCACTTAAATTTTGATATTAATATAGAAATATTTAAATTTAATATATTTCATATTTAAATTTAATATGTTTCATATTCAAATTTAATATGTTTCATATTTAATGTTAATATGTTTCATATTTAATGTTAATATGCTTCATATTTAAATTTAATATGTTTAATATTTAAATATAATATGTTTCATATTTATATTTATATTCATTTTTAACTAATTGGTTATTATTTTGCGTACGCAAATTACATTTCAAGTCCTCATGGTGTGAATTGGTTAAAGTTTTCAACTAGAAATAATCGCAACATGAATAGGACTGCATTGGCCCCGTTTTACTGTGCATTCAAGGCAGCAGCAGCTGGAACTAGATGGAAATTCGAGGGACATAAAAAAATAATATAAACATAGTTAAAATAATTACAAAAAATATTTGATTTCATTTAATATGGAATATTTAAAATAAAAAGTTTTTCCTTTGGATTTTAAAAGAAAATTTTTAAAATCAAGTCATAATAATATTCAATTTAAATATGAAACATATTAAACTACAAATTTAATATATTATAGTTATTTTGAAGTGTTTTGTATTTAGATTAAAGTATGACCGTATTAAAAAAGCATTTTTAATACATTTATATTTGAATCAAAGTGAATTCTATTAAATTTTTACTATGTTTGTATTTAAAAATGGCATTTTAAATTCAAATATGATTGTAGTTATTTTTACTATGCCTTTTTCTATCAGTGTAGCTTGCGCTTGCTTATAATAACTAAAATTCAGCAAATATCAGCGTTTTCTTATCTGAGTATTCTCTTTTACTCGTATTACATTTCTCTGAGTCTCTAGCCGCTAGACGCTAGCGTATGGGAGGGTGTTTCGTGCTCTTTGCATTCAATCTTAGTTCTCTATTGTTTATTCGGTTTTCATCAATCGAACATGTCGGTACCCATGGCGGAGGAGGTGAATTCACTGGTGGAGATACCACGCGAGGATTGGATACAGCTGCGGGAACTCTATGCCGACCGAAATACGGATCCACATGGTTCCATGTGCATTAACAACTATATCAATTGGGTGCAGCAAGAACCAGAACTGCCAGTCAGAGTATTATCGTTAAATGGCGACTGGCAGCGAGAGGGAACATTCCTAATAACCGTGAGTACAAATGTGATAATTTTTATAAGAGAATCCCAATGTTTGATTGCTCTCAATTAAGGTTGATATGGGAACAAACCTGCAGCATCTCTACTTCAACACATTGAGCGATGATCTGAGCAGGGTGACAAAGGCCGTGGAGTGCCTGAAGCCCTCCAATGATGAGTATCTGTTCTTTGGGTATAGTTCTCGCTTTGATTCTCTGGTCAGGAACATTGGAAAGACATGTACAGGTATCACCAAAGAACTCAGTATTGTGGACGTTGTTTGGTATTATGCCAGCAAGCAAGTTGTATCCACCTTCACCGTCGAGTAAGTCTCAATACTCCAATGTTTTGGACTCCCATTTCATTCTGTTTTCTGCCAGGGTCCCAAACGGCATCAGACTGGATAACTTGAGTATTAAAGATGCCGAAACGATCAACGAAATTTGGCCACATCGTGCTGATAATTCTGTGAAATTTGTCAGGAGATTGATACAATTTAATGTGAATATTGGGGCCTACGATGAGACGGGAAAATTGGTGGCCTGGTGCCTGAGGTGAGACAATTCGATTGTCTTACGATCTGCATAACACTAACTCCTTGTGCTCACTCGATAGATTGCCCATTGGTGCCTTGGGTTTGCTGCAAGTTCTCGAGTCCCATAAGCGTCTGGGCCTGGGCAGCCTCATGGTTCGCGCTCTGTCCAAAAAGATCAACGATTTGGGCGATTCAGTTGTGGCTCCGGTGGTGCCACAAAATACCGCCTCACGCAGCATGTTTGAGAAACTCGGTTTCCAGCAAATTGACACAGGCTATTGGGCCGAGTAAATAGATCAGAGATAAGGAAAATAAAATACCCCCAACCGAAACTCTTATCTGAATGGGCTGTACTCTAACCTAAAGTATCAAACGTAATTTTGCTTACAATTATAATTTAATCTAATTATTGTTTGAGTGCCTAATAAATGACGAGTCAGTTTTGTTACTTTTGTTTACTGAACTTGAATGACTTGCAGCAAACAGGAGTTGAGATGACAGGCAGTCAGTGCTTGGAGGGAGGCATAGTAACAGCATTCAAGTAATTGCAATTTAATTGGACTAATTGATAATATCAATTGACATATTGTTTGTGTGTTTAATTTGTGTAAATAAATAAAATACCATAACATTATCTGTGTTTTGGTATATCCCTTCTGGGCACAGATTGCTTGGATTAAACGAGTGACTCATTCAATCACGGAATCGGCTCTGATGAGTCATTAAAATGTTATTTACATTATAGTTTCTTTAACCTTTGTTCTACTTTTTAAACCAATTGTTGGCTTGGTAGCGATAATCAGATTGGCGTGACAAAGTTAATTTAAACTTCGTTAGTTTGCCTGACGAGGCTGAAATTTCACGGTGTTGCAGATTAATGATGATAAAAGTTCAGCGATTTCTATACTATACTATATACTATACTATATATACTATATACATTTGTACAGAATTTAGTTCAGTATTTAAGAGTATTCATATACAGAAGAGAAGGTGAAATTGTTTTATTTAATAAAAATATTAATTTATTTTCATTCGTTAATGGGATATTTAGGGTAGAACGTATTTTCAGACAAACTGACAGCCAGCTCCTTTGTTTTTCGAAAGAGAGTTTTATTTTTACGTGTGAAATTTCAATTTACATTGAGAATTGAGAATACTGAATTGAAAATAAATTGTTCGAACAACAAAAGTTAATTAGAAAAACTTCAAAAAAGAGTTACATTAAACCCATTTTATTTTTGATATCCCCTTTATTTCCCCTAAATGGTTTTCCTGTTCTTATACTGCAGTTAAATGTTCATAATAATCCCCGTTCTTTGGTAATAATTTGTGGCGGCTTTTACCAGCATCATCACTTGACTTGAACTCATTTCCATATAATACAAGAATATAAATGGGGAAACCCCGCCTCCGCCAAACTTTATCACAAAAGCAACTGTCGGAGCACCACAAAGCGCCGCAAACTTTCCAGTGACGTTGCCTGAGGATACGCATCTAACATAAATCAAATAACATAGCTTATAAATATTTAAACTATTTGCTCCAATACTCTGTGTAGTTGGCCAGGAGAGACAGACTCGGAGTGGGAGCACAACATTAGTATGCACGTCACATGAGGTTGGTCCGGGAGAGCGAGAGCTTCAATGGATTTCCGCTACTGGTTTCGCAGAAAAATGAGGCAGGCACCGGCACAATGTCTCACCACCCGTTCCACCCAGAAAGTACCCGACGACTGCGAATCAATAACAAGTGCAGAATGGGGGGCATGGGCATGGGCATCAATGTAAACAGAGTCGTGGGTATAACCCAGACCAGTTGGCATGAGCATGAGTCGACAAACCATATCATCGGAGAGCAAATTACAGGGCCAGAGAGACAGCGAGAGAGAGCTCGGCTTGAAGGAACAGTTGGTATGAAACCTGATAACAAGTTTCAGAAACCGATTCAAGTTTTATAATGATTCGCGCCGAGCGTTGGCAGTTTAGTTGTCTGGTGTCTGTTCTCTGGTGTTGGCAAACGTAGCTGCCTCGATCGACGTTCCGTTCGCGATTCTAAGCTCGCGTACTCGCACGCATACTAAACAACAAAATATATACTATATATATACAGCCATAGCTGTGTGTTCACTGATCCGATTAGATTAAAAGAGTTCACTGTTAATTGCACAATATGTGGCGCTTACTCTTGACGCTTGTGGTGCTGGCGAGTGCGGCTCGCTCGGAGACGGAGCTGTGGCGACATGATCTTCGCAGTCCCGAGACCCAGGCCTACATAATGCGGCTACAGCAGGAGCAGGCGCAGGTGCAGGCGCAACAGCAGCCAGACAAGCTACAGCCACTGCCACTGCCACAAGCACAGCCACTGCCACAAGCACAGCCACAGGCCATACAGCAGCCCCCCATACCGGAATCCGCACCACTGGCATCGCCCGGCCTTGTCAACAGGTACTCAAACACTCAAATAAATCCAACAACTGCGAGTGCTCCCAGCTCTGCCTGGGCTGGCGGTGTCCCCAGTTCTGGCTCCGGCTCCGGCTCATCCTACGTGGACGTTGCCAGCTCCGATCAGATAGCTCGCAGCGTCTTGAACTTCGCCCAGAATCTGGCGAATCAACTGAGCGTTAGAAATCGCAAGACCGAGGTATTCTCGCCCCTCAGCATTGTCTCCTCGCTGGCACTGCTGCTGCTCGGCGCCAAGGGGCGCAGCTACCAGGAGCTGTCCTCGGTGTTTGGCATGTCGGATACCATTAAACTGCACCAGCAATTCGGCCAGATGCTGCAGGATGTGCGCCAGCCCACACGGGACTTGGTGTCCGCCCAGCGGCCACTGGTACCGTGGCGCATAAACAACGGCCAGCGCACATATCGACGCTCCCAGCGACCCGCACCCCACGAGGTGCATCTCGCCAACGGACTTTTCACACAGCTGGGCTACACGCTCAATGCCGGTTACAGGTGAGTTTAATTAACCATAAACTGGATCCGAACACCGAGTTTGGTTCAGGTTGGATGCGATGGGAAATGCCATACGAGACTATTAGTGGCTGCCTTGGGCTGCTGCTGCTGCTGCTGCGGATCGAGCCGGCGATCTGGAATATCAGGAATGATTCAACATCGAAGCATGCAAAGTAGGGTTTGGGAACTGTTTGACTGCAAATACTCAATGATTTCACTGGCTAATCATATGTAATATAATATCCGTGAAGTTTCAGTGCAGAGAAATGTGCCAGATAGAATCGAATGCAGTTTGACTTGAGAGGGAAAAACGTTGCTTACGAATTAATTGCTTTGGAATGCAAATTCCCCATTAAGATTTACACATTCCATGAAGGGAAGGAATTCTATAGAATGTTTTAGTATCAGCATTACAGATGCAAATATGTTTTCCCTTAAAAATCATAAATGCATGCAAATTTCACTTCACAGTCAATAATATCAATGGGAAATGAGATTAAATCAGGGACACCAATGAAATAACTACCAGCACGCTTGAGAGAAAACTTGCTCACAATTATGGAGATTAAATCAACTGAATTATCAGCAAAGCTGGAGGAAATCCAGAATTGTTCCGACTGCCTCGCCCCCTTTTTAATCACGTGGGGTCAGTGAAGTTCGAACTGCAATAAAGATTTAATTAGAACAAGAAATGTGACGGGATGCTGAACGAGCACTATATTAATTAGTAATAATGTGGCATAGAGTGAAATTCTCCCTAAGCATTCATGATAATTCAGTTCCAGTCAGGACATATGTAAATAGGAATTAGTCTCAGTGAAATCTCCCTAGACTGGCTGCCAGAGCCACCTGCAACAAGTGCTCGTTCCTAATGATCTTGCACTAATTTGTATACCCAACAATGATTTTTTACTCATGCTCCCCTCTTTTATTTTGCATTTGCAGTCAAGTGATTCGCGACATATATGGCTCTGATCTGGAGACGCAGGATTTCGAGGCAAGTCCGGCCAAGGCGCGTTACAACATCAACAGCTGGGTGGCGGAGCACACCCGCAACCATATCGACAGCATCATATCGAGCGACATACCACAGAGCACCCGAATGATCCTGGCCAATGCCCTGTACTTCAAGGCCTTCTGGGAAACGGATTTCATTGAGTCCGCCACCAAGCCGGACAGTTTCTATCCGAACGGCGAGGGCACACAGCCGGTGCTGAGCGTCCAGATGATGGCGACGGGCGGCAGTTTTCCGTATCACGAGGACCATCAGCTGGGCTGCAAGATCCTGGGCCTGCCCTATCGCGGCAACCTGAGCACCATGTACATCATTCAGCCCTTCAAGTCGTCGGTGGACAAGCTGCAGATGCTGCAGCAGAGACTGAACGCGGACGTGATCGAGGACATGATCAGCAAAATGGTTCGCCGCTCGGCCGTGATGGCCTTCCCCAAAATGCACATCACAGAGTCCGTTAGCCTGAAGACCATGCTCCAGCACATGGGCCTGGGCGGCATCTTCAGCACCGTCCAGAATGACCTCTCTCTGATTGCCACAAACGAGGCGCAGTCGTCGTCGGCGGCAAGCGGTCGTTCAGCCTCTGCCGCGTCAGAGCGACTGAGCAATAGTCTGGGGGGCAACGGCCTACAGAGTTTGGAGGCCCAGCGACGTGCCTCGCCCGCGGCACGCTCCGATCTAGTGGTGGATGACATTGTGCATAAGGTTGACTTCACCGTCAACGAACAGGGCACAGAGGCAGCGGCAGCCACCGTCACGTATGTGAAGAAATCCGGACCCGATGTACTCTTCCGGGGCGACACACCATTCATTGTCTTGGTGCGCCACGATCCCACTAAGCTAATCATGTTCTATGGCATCATCAATGAGCCGCCAACGGCTAATTAGGTTTCCCCTCGAAAGTCTGGGAATTAATGCGTAAGATCGTTGACTTTTTAGTTAGGCATTTAAGAAGCAATTTAATCTGATAATAAACTAAGTGAAATAGTGTACAACAAATGGAGGCTAATTCTGTTTTGAGTTTGAGTGTTGTATTAAATATTTTTAATTTAAATTTATACCGCCAAAAACCGATTGCTTGTCTATCGAAGAACTGCCATCACCAGAACGAGCTTCGTCAAAAATCCGCCAGTTGCGCCGCCGGAACCATCGAACTTGCACGAGTCTGGCAGCGCCAGGCACAACTATGACGGTACAAAGTTGAAACAAAAGCAATACACCTTATTATGTAAACAATGCAATAAAAAGGAAATTTGAAAACCAACAAATCTTGTAGAATATTGATATATCTATCGGATAAAATTATTTTTTTCGGGCTGAGAAGGCCAACTAGCTAGTAATATTAAACCGAATATCAAAATCATGGAATACGATTTTAATCAATAAAATAGAACGTTAACCCTTTGTCGACCAGGGGGGTATATAATATTTCCTCGAAATTTATGTAACTTTAACAAATATTACGCATTACAGGTGAAAAAAAAGGGGTGTGAAATGGGTTAAGTTCAAAATGACCAATTTAGCGCACAAAAAATACTGACATTTTTCGCTCTCAATTCGTGGTGGTTTTTCAAAATTTTCTCTCTTTTTTGGGGTGAAGAGAGCGTTTTCGTGGTGATTTTCCGTGGTGTGAGAAACATGTTCTTAACGGGAACGCGTATGGAATGACGCAACACTGAATCTTCATTCCATACGCGTTCCCGTAAGATACATTTGATTTGTATGGGAAAACTTTCAGCAACATGCTAGCAGCATTGTTGTGCAACTTTGGCACGAAATTAGCAACAATCTGCATACCTTGGGAAAATGGATATTATGGACTTGAGATATTGTTTGTAATTTCAGGCACCAATTAATGAAAAAACTACTCAGTCTCTGTTTTAAAGATATTAACGAAATTTTGAAGCTCATGGGTTCCAATAATAGCTATCAGAACCAGGATAAATGTATATATAAAACACAAACATGAGCATTTATAGGTAAAAAACATGTCAATCTAGGATAAAATGCAATATTAATGTTTGAAAGCAGCTTGGAACAACAAATTTAACATCACTTAAAGGAAATAAGGTATACAAAAGTACATACGCATAGAAGAAACTTGGCTGACCAGCAACAATGACGTCACATTTAGTCAACATTTACGTTTTATGCTTTGGCCGTTTTTGTTTGAACCTTATTATGGAAACAATCCAATGAAAAAGAGTTCTGAAAACTAGCCAATCCTGAAAAAAATGTATTGAGGAATTGGAACAAATTAATTTCTTGGGGCAGACAAGGCTAACTAGCTAGTAATATTAAACCGAATATCAAAATCATGGAATACGATTTTAATCAATAAATATAGAACGTTAACCCTTTGTCGACCAGGGGGGTATATAATATTTCCTCGAAATTTATGTAACTTTAACATATTTTACGCATTACAGGAGAAAGATGTCGGAGGTCTTTTTTGTTTTTTAAGTAAAGAGGAGGACGGAGCTACACGGAACTTTTACAAACAGTATTGTGTTCCATGGTTTAACAAAGGGTGCTCAGCTTTTTAAATAGAGGGGTGTTAAGTGGGTTAAGTCTCGTTTGATCGCCGGATTGCACTGGTTTTTTTTTCTCGAAACAGAAACACTATTCGCGCGGTCACACTGAAAAACCAAAACAGGCGGGCAAAAAAAAAACATAAAAATAAAACCTCCACCCGGGCTATAAAAGCCAACCGCCACATCGCAAAGCATCACAAAAACAAACGCGCAGCCCCGAGTGACAACACAGAAGCAGCTGTGTGAGATTAAAGTTCCAAAATCCAGAGTTAAAGTCGAGCGAAGTGCCGGTATTTTCTTGCATAACAAAAGAACAAAAAGAAAGACAATCAACATGCAATCCATGGCCAAACAATCCATGCGCGCCCTGCCGCAGGTGGGCAAGCAAGGTGTGTGTTTAATACTCCGCGAGTGTTTCCCGAAAATAATCCATCTCCATTTACCAAATTAGTGAGCTACCTGTCGACGAGCAGCGCCTGGCGGGCAACAGTTGGTGGCGGCAACGACTTGGTCGTTGAGATTACGGAGCCCAAGACACGGACCGAGAAGCTGATGGCCTTCCAGAAGAAGCTGCGTGCCAAGACGCCGCTTGGAAAACTGGACGAGTTCTCGCGCCATCCCTACCAGGAGAAGGAGCCCCTGAAGCCGTGGCCCAATCAGACGAATCCCCACACAGGCGAAATCGGCGGGCCCGCCGGTCCGGAGCCCACACGCTATGGCGATTGGGAGCGCAAGGGTCGCGTCTCCGATTTCTAGTCCTCCCCATCCAAAAAAGAGTTCCTTTAGCTAGCATCTAGGCTGTTATTTAAAAATTACAATTAAGAAAAAAAGCAAATCACGTATACTCGAAGCTTAATATTATGTTTTAGTGTATAAAATAGAAATACAAAAATTTTACAAAAAATACAACATTGTTTTTGGTGTGATTTAATGGTGCTTCAGCAGTTCTTCAGTCAGATGCTCGCTGAGCTGCCACAATTTCTGCTGCAGTTCAGAGCTCTTGGAGAGCTTGCTGGGCTCACAGAAGAAGCAGTTGTTGAAGTAGAGTCCCGACAAACCCGTCAGCTCGTTGGCGGTGGCGCAGTAGATGCTTGTGGCAGCCGCTTGTTGCTGTCGGAGAATAATCTTACAAGTGAACAAGCCAATTAAATGCAATGCGTATTTCTCTTGCTCACCAGGGACTTGGTAAAGGGTCTCACGAGGGCAAACAGCCAGCGGTAGAACCAATAATTACGCGACAATTCCGTGGATACCATATTTCCAGGATGCACAGAGAACACGGAGATTCCGCGTTGCTTCCAGCGCTGCAGAAAGAGTTAATTAAGTGACCCAATTGTGGAGTCCAAATTTAGCTGTGACTCACTTGGGCCAGTTCCTGGGCAAAGAGTACGTTGCACAGCTTTGCATTGTTGTAGGCCATCATGCTCCAGTACTTCTCCGCCGGTGGCGACACATGATGCACGGCCAGGTTGTCCACAGGAAGATTTGCGAACCTAAAGATACAGAAATAATTCAAAGGAAAGGAGTGTTTTATTATAAGACGCATTTGTTTGGTTAGCCCAGTTATTCAAGTATGGATCTGCATATATTATACGTCCAGACGAACCCATTGGACTTTGCTCTCCCCCCAGTGAACGCCAATCGCCAAACGAGTCTTGATTGGCATTGTCGTTGTTCTTGTGTATTGCCGGCATTTAACGCTCGTTGTTAATGAGATGCATAAAGTCAGAATCAACAAAGTACAGGGCATTGATAATGACTAAGACCCCTCCTACAGATCCATATGTACATACATATATCATACATATATCAAAATGCACCCAACAATGGAACAAGTGGCTGGGCTATTGAAACAAAGCTCCAGACAATAAACTCTGGTGCCACAAGGACAGGACAGGACAGGACGGTCGGAAGTGTACATGAAATTGAACTCTTCTCAGAGTCTGTTTAGAGGGGCTTCATCAATGGCGAGGCAGCTGAGAGCTTCGTGTGTGAAGCCCCGTTATCGTCACGTGTAGCGCATGCTCAGGGCGCATAGAGCCGCCACCAACATGAAAGTTTGATTGGCGCACATTTTGGACTTTGGATTTGTTTTCATTTTGCAAATTCCCGACCAGCGCTCTCGGCTTGGGGCCCCTAACAGAACAGCGCTACAGAATACAGAACGGTCGATGTAAAAATAACGACGCAAAAATCTATGCAAATTTTACTTTATTTATATGTACAAGTCTGCTTTCTAGATATAATGAACTCATTGTGGCTGGCGGGCTGTTGTTCGGGTTTGTGGGAGTTAATTGATGGTTTGGTGTTGCGGTAGGTACAGGCCAAAACGGGTATACGTGTTGTTTATAGCACTCGTGCGGAATGGAACATATTTAAACAGACGTGCAACGCGGGAATTGATTTCAATATTTAATTCTAGCTTATTTATGTAAATAGCTAAAGAAATAATTAAATAATATTTACATTTACTAAATGCATTTAATAAGTTTTGCATAATGATGCGAAAATCTTTTCAATTGTGCAAACAGCAAATTGTGTTGAGAGATCTTCTATCATTTTAGAATTGTTTGCCCTCGAAATGCTTCGAAAATATTTATCAGTTAGCACCGATTTGATTCGCTTTTGACCCCAATAGCAGCTGAGCGCAATTAATCAAATCTCGGTATACATTTTGTGGCATACATGACTATCAGCAAGTACACCGAGTGGCGCACGCGACTTTCTGTGGCATGCCCAGACCGGACTGGAGATATATGTATACTCGAAACGAGAAGCCAAAAATGTGGTACGTGAGCAGAGCAACGCACACATCAGACAGCAGCAGCAGCAGGAAAAAGAAACCACCTCCAATACTCGTAATAACAACTACAACAAACTCTCCAATTGCGTTTTGTGCTTCTTCCGCTCGATTCAATTCACGCGAGTCTTCCATCATTTTTCTGTGTGATAGCTACGCACAGTGGATCAAGACATAATACTTATAAAAAAAACTATGTATGTACATTTTTAGATGCAAAAGAGATCTTTTACAGAATTAGAAACCTAGAGGTTACCTATTAATTCAACTTGGGGAAGTTAAAGGTTTAAGTTAAAGTTTGACTACAGGAAATAAAGGAAGATCCTTGAAAGTTCAGGCGTTGAATGAAGTTATGCACTTTGGTGGATTTTTATTCCAAACCCTGTGAGGGGGCAGTGTTGCAATCTACCCAAGAGAGATCTCCATCTATAGAGATCAGTCATAAACATATTAGGATATTAGGATCAGTCATAAACATATTAGTATATTATCAGTGGTTTTGTGCCAAGTAAGAGCTCCTTACATCTTGGCTTCCGCGAGTATATAAAAATCCATTCAAGTTTTCTTCTTATTTAAACATTTCTACACGACCTTCTGCATTCTGCATAAACTAAATCCCACTGTGCTATCATCTGCACGTGAGGGTGCGCCCTGCTGTATGTGGGGTTTCGATAATGTAATCAAAGCTGTGGCGTTGTTGTTGTTCTGATGGTGGTTCGTATAGTGGTTGATTTGGATTTATCTGAAATTACGAGTACAAACATATTGTGCGCAGCAAAAAATGTAAATGAAGTCGCTGGATGGTGGCAAAACATTGTTTTCAAATCTACATAAGTTCAATTGCGTTTCGCCTTGAAACGAGACCAAACCAAACAGAACTTCAAACAGAGACGAACGGCAGATGAAGTGACGCCACAAGATTAAACCTTTTTGGAAACCTACACTAGCCTACACGGCATAGCTGCGCAATGAGCATGCAGGCGAAAATATTTATTTTTGGCTCGCACTATGAATAGTTTAGCCCCAAAGCGAAAAGAAACCGGTCGGGTCCAAAGTCCACAGTGTGTGGAGGGGCATAAAAGTGCAATCAACTCGCAAATAAAATAAATAATAAGCGATGGTTACGACTACCAGATACCCGCTAGTGTAGCAAGATCTTTGAGATCTGTGAATCACTATAGATATTAAGCTATGAAAACTGTGTTCAAAATAAATGTAAGCCTCTATTTAACAATCATACATCTACATATGTATGACTTGATCTTTACTAATTTGGAGATCGGTCCAAAAATCTATCCGTATCATGCAATCCGTATAGGATATATTTTTGGAAACATCTTTCAAAATTACCAATATTCTACAGATATTTCCAGCGATTAGCAGTGATTAGCTGATGGTGATCCAAAAACCACATGCAAGTCAGACTTGGGTACTTTGGTCAATGATAATAATATTCGCCACTTAATCGATTGTAGGTGTTGGGAATCGCCAAACGTGTATGTACTTCTGTTCCTGTTGCAAACAGCATGATGAATGTACCTCATACTCTACGAATACCGGTTGCAATAATGTCAAATGGTTTGCCGGGCAAAGCAAAAATATGGAACTTGAATGAGATGCACAGTGGAGGCAGTAAAAGTGATTACAGCTCAAAATGATACTATAGCCAAAGGAAATAAGTGTTCTAACCGTAGATAAATATAATAATAAATATATCAATAGATTTTCGGTTAGATTTGACTTTTGTTAACTGCCCTTTTAGGATTCTATGAAATTCGAAACTTGAGGTTGAGATTTGTCGCAAAAGACACTTCAGTTAATCAATCCAGATGTCTTTGTTATCAATTGTGTAAATTGCAAATCAGTCCTAAGCGTATACTGTAGCCCTTATCATATTTCAAACTATGTACCTGTGTGATTCAGATGACAGCACCACAATCCTCGTCTTGTAATCGAACAACGTATCCAGCTGCATAGTCAAGTAGAAGTGGGACAGATGCGATACTTGGAATGTGGTCTCCAGACCGTCAACGGTGGTCGTATAGGGTAAGGCAAAAACGCCAGCGTTCAAAATGAGGTAATCAATGTGGCTGGAATATAAAAGCATTTTAAAATTGATTATACTAGAAACGTATTTTGTCTAGTCACACACCTAACACTCTGCTTGATCTCCTGCACAAATTGCTGGACAGCACGCAATGAACTTAAGTCGAGGGCCACAAAGCGACAACGAGCCCGTGCCGCGGGCCGTTCCTGGGCAATCCGGTCAATGGCAGCCTCAGCGCTGGCCCGACTGCGACAGGCGAAAATGATATCACAGCCATGTTGGGTCAGAGAGCGAGCAGTCTCAAAGCCAATGCCACAGTTGGCCCCTGTTATCAATGCGATTCGTCCGTGCAGATCCTTGCCATGGAGCACCTGTAGTGCTGTGCTGCAGGAATCAAATCTCTGCCGGACTTGGGCCACATTCTGAGTGGGCTCTTCCACAGCAAAGGCCAGGCGGGGATCCACATTGCTCCGCTGCTGCGTCGCTTTGTTCAGGAATATGAATTTTTTCAGCTGCTCGTCATAGTACTTTTCCCAGCCCAAGGGCAGTTCCCCAGTGATGCGTTTGGATCGCCCAGTTCTGGGATGTGTCCATTGGGAGGTTTTGCTCTGCTGGCTGGAGAGAAAAACAACATTTATTAGCAAAGTTTTACGACTGAACTTGACCTTTATACTTCACGTAGCAGACAGTGCCGTCGTCTGTGGCACGCTCTTCCCAGCCGGGGGGCAGCTCATCCTCACTGTCTGTATCCGGTAGGGACATCATTTTTTGCAAGTTTTTAAAGCTAAATTTAAAATTTTAAATTTAAATTCTGGAAACTCGCGAAAATAAAAAAAGACTAAAATATACCATACGTGACCCTCAGAAATATACCAAAACGAGAAGGAACGTGTGAGTCGTTTCTGGGGACACGACTCTACTTATACCCGTACTCAGTCAGTATATACATACACTTTTGAGCTTATGATTTTTTAGAATTTTAGAAAAAAAAAAAAAAATTGTACATTTTACATTTTTTTGCTACATATGCTATCTACATCTACATATAAAATGTCTATTATACATCTAACATGTAGATTGTACATGTTCCATTCATATTCTACATCTCCTCCGCTAGGGGTTGCTCGCGCACTGAACGCGGCAGAGTGTGCGAGCGAGAAGGAAAATGAGTTGTGTTGTCGTGGGCGGAAGGGGGAGGGGAAGCAACTGAAAATTAATTTCTTCATTCTGGCTATAATTATGATCCGATCTGATTCAGATTCGGCAGTCTGGTAGATATGGTCATTCTCTACGATACTGCGTTTTTAGTTTTATCGTTTCTTTAAAATTGTGCCTGCCACAGATTTTCGTCCTTTGTGGGGGCGGAAGGAGGCGGGGCGAAATTTTGAAATACACTTGTAGCAGTGTGATATCACATGAGTCTGGAAACCAAATTTGGTTGCCCTAGCTCTTATAGTCTCTGAGATCTAGGCGCTCAACAAGACGGACAGACAGACAGACAGACAGACAGACATGGCTATATCGACTCGGCTATTGATGCTGATCAAGAATATATATACTTTATGGGGTCGGAAACGTTTCCTTCTCTGCGTTACGTACATCCACTTTTACCACAAATCTAATATACCCCTTAACTCTTTTTTGAGTACGGGTATAAAAAAAAAATTTTACATATTACATTTTTTTGCTACATCTGTTATCTACATCTACAATGTATATTTTACATCTAACATGTAGATTATAGATGTACTATTCATATTCTACATCTTTTCCGCTAGGGGTTGCTCGCGCACTGAACGCGGTAGAGTGTGCGAGCGAGAAGGAAAATGAGTTTCGTTGTCGTTTGTTGGAGGGGGGGCAGGGGAAGCAACTGAAAATTAATTTCGTCATTCTGGCTATAATTATGATCCGATCTGATTCAGATTCAGCAGTCTGGTAGATATGGGCATTCTCTACGATACTGCGTTTTTAGTTTTATCGTATCTTTAAAATTGTGCCTGCCACAGATTTTCGTCCTTTGTGGGGGCGGAAGGGGGCGGGGCGAAATTCTGGAATACACTTGTAGCAGTGGGATATCACATGAGTCTGGAAACCAAATTTGGTTGCCCTAGCTCTTATAGTTTCTGAGATCTAGGCGCTCATCGAGACAGACAGACAGACAGACAGACAGACAGACAGACGGACAGACAGACATGGCTATATCGACTCGGCTATTGATGCTGATCAAGAATATATATACTTTATGGGGTCGGAAACGTTTCCTTCTCTGCGTTACACACATCCACTTTTACCACAAATCTAATATACCCCTTAACTCTTTTTTGAGTACGGGTATAAAAAATATACCGCAAATATACTACATATTACTAACCAAGATGCGTTGATATTCCTTGATTTTGGTATTCGGTTTTATATTACTAGTTAGTTAGCCCTGTCAGCCCCAAGAAATTAATTTGTTCCAATTCATGAATCAATTTTCTACAAGACTGGCTAGTTTTCAGATATCTTTTTTATTGCATTGTTTATATAATAAGGTGTATTGCTTTTGTTTTAACTTTGTACCGTCATCGTCGTGCCTGGCGCTGCCAGATTCGTGCGATTCGTAGTTGCTGCGGGCTGCCACACCATCATATTTTGTGACCCGTTTCATTACCGATTCGCTTTGAACTGATCTGGCAGCCCTAAAAACAAAAATCCGCACAAAAAGAAGAAGAAAAGCGTACACGCCGCTATTGCCGAAACCTGGAACTACTGTTACAAACTCTCTGGTCTGGCAACATTTCAAAAGCGACAACGACGCGCCAAAAATGATCAATCTTCAAACTGCATAAATCTGAGTGAATGAATGGTTTAAATTAAATAGAGAATAACTTGCTATTTGAGTAATTTAAATGAGTACTTCTCGCTTTAGAACTTTGATAAATCTCTTCACACTAGCTTACACAAGATTTTTTTAAATCTATTTTTTTAAGCTTCCTCTGTGACAACACAAACTTAAAAAGTTACCCATTTAGGTACAGTGGCAATAATATATGTGGTATTCATTAGTATACCCAATTGGTATTGTTCCATTTGAACGCACACCCAGAGCTATGCTTCCACATGTTCGGGTTACAGGCAACGATCCAGACAGTTGTTCTTTTGC